ATAGAGAGGGGCGCCGCTATTGTTACGCGCCAATAAAACGCCAAACGGGGACCGTAAAATAATAATACAATATATTATTTATACTTGTAATTTAATACTATAATGTACATTGTAATATTAACGCTTTTTAGAATTAGAAAAATAAAACAGACTTTCTTCGCCATGTCACAACCCATAATAGAACAAATTATACACCTCCGCTTGTACACCTTTAATATAATATTTATACCGGTCCGTTACCGGAAATTGTCAAAAGACTTGATTTGTTTTAAAACAACAAATTACAATGCTCTTTCTATCTTAAAAAGTAATTTAATGGTTTTAACGTTAATGCAGTGGCATAATTACAATTTTTTACTGGGAGGTGATGTCTAACGAAACAATAGCTTCCCTTATGTAAAACTTGCCCTCATGACCAGATCAAAAAATGTGAACTATGTTTTTTTATTAAAGGATAAAAAGTCTGTTAACTGGTTACAGTTTGTTTATCTATATTTTTAGGGGTGAAACCTTTCAATTTGACAAAATTAATTTTGTATCCATTTTTAAAAGTTTGATTAACGAGGAAACGATTTTTTTTCAAAAAACGTTTTCGTTATGTGAAAAAAAAATTAATAAAATTTAAGTTTCTATACTTTTATTATAAAATATTATTATTATATTTACCTAATATTACAATCATGTTTTTTTTGTGATATTTCTTCAAAAATGTCTATGGTAGCAAGAATAGTTTTCTATTTAACAAATAGGTTTTTTATAATATATTTATAAAAATTAGGTCTCTTGGGGGCGATATCTTACTCTGGTCATCCTGCAAAAACGCCACTGTATTATTGATAGACATAATGTATGGACGGATAGAGGTTTTCATGTTTTTCAATTTTATACTATGCTGTCCAGTATTATAAATTAAACAATAAACGTACATAGATAGACCAAATTGTATTATATATAACCATAAGTTGCTCAAGTTTTTATACTATATTAACCATGTATTTAGTTGGGTCCATTTCGTTATCATAACAATTGCCGTATTCCATAAGCCATGAGCCATAAGCATATACCTATCTGTTGATGCTTGTTAAAATCAGTTCAGTTAAAACTAATCAATACGGAATACCTTCTTAGCTTCGCATCAGCATAACTACTTATGGGTTAAAATTGCATTAAAAAAGTGGCATTATTATTTATTAAAGTTAAAATGTAATAGTGTTAAAAATAATATTTCAATTCTTGCTCTCTTAAAAAATCGTATGCCAGTGTAAAAATCAATAGGAGTACGAACTGCGATGACTATGTATAACGATTAACGTACTTTATTTTTTTCACTAGTAGAATGAAGAATTGAACGGAAGTATAGCACCATTATGGTGGCAAATTTACTGAAGTCCAACGTGGGTTGTCGACTTTGGTCGACGTTGTGTTTTTGGTTAACACTGTTCGCTGCGTTCCATCAATGCATGTCCACGTCCACTCACCGTTGGAGCTTGGCTGAGTTGTCGGTGACGTCCAGCGAACTGCCCAAGCAGATTCCAGCACCGCCTTATCCACACGCTCAAAAGGTCCAGTCTACGCCGCATTATGACCAACAACTCAAATTGCCATCTGCGGCTAACGGCCAACAGTACGACGGCCGCCGCATGCACCTTTGGACTCGAACGGCCGGTACATACATCAGCGATCCTACAATGTCCACGACTGTATAACATGAAGTTTTCTAACTACAAATTTCTTAGAAATTTACTTTAAAATGTGTTATTCAAAACTTGTACACCTGTTCTTATACTCATAATAAGGGTTATTTTAAATACTAATATATGATTGCTGGTGGCATATTTACCTACATTATCACATTTTAGTTATGGTGCGTTATATTATATTATTACGATATTACCATAACAGTTTTATTACTTATATGCGTTTTGTGTAGATGCACGCATAGTATTTATTTTATATGATATTTATGTTTACCTACATTTGTAATACATTAATTAATAGAAAATATCATATCGTATTTCATTAGATTAACTATTTTGCGTGAAACAACGATTTAACCCACGCCTTTATATTTTTCCACGCGAGCCTGAAGGGGGAAATAATATTTAACTAATTTTTTCTACATAATCTATAGTTGATAAGATACATGAAAGTTCAAGTACACAACAAATTGCAATCATAGGTATAATCATCTCCGGTAATCAAGCCTTCATAATATAATTACTGGGATACATTTTTATTTTGCGTGACTCAAATCGTAGTGTAAAAGATGGGGGTTTATAAGGGTTAAGAAATATTTATATTGTTTAAATAACAAGTGCAAAACTATTAGACATATAATAACGGTAGGTACTTAAATAATTGAGTATTTTCAGTAATTAGTACAATAGAAGGATTATTGGAAATATTGGGGAACGAGAATTTGTGAGCTGAAATTAGTGACAAAAATATGAGAAAGGAAAAGGGAAGGTTGAAGCCATCATGAATTTTTTACTTTACAGTAAAATGTTGTAAAATGCATTTGTATGTATCAGCAAATTATCAGTAAACTAAATAAAAAGTCTTCATTATTTTTATAATATGTGAAAAAGCTTCAGCTATTTAGAAAAACATATGTTGTATTAATAAGTAATTCTATCTGCAACTCGAGTTAAGTCCAAATCCTAGTTAGGACCCAAGACTAGATATTTTTTTATTTGTACCCTATTCGTTGAGAGAGCATGCCGGGTTTGCGCATGTAGACTGAAGACTACGTAGCAAGACTAAGGCTGAAAGACAGGGCGGACTCCGGGGGGAACGCTAGTCACACTGGGTGCGGCGCGGGGATGCGCAGAACAGCCAATTTTCGTCGGGTCGCGGCATGCTCTCTCGGCGAACAGGGTATAATCTAATATTTTTTAAGTCTTTAATAACTAATAACTCAATTTGAATTTTTTTATAGGGGTTTCGGGAGATATAACAGTATAACACTGTTTGATATCCTCCATGTTATAGACAATTTGATAGACTACCCTATGGTTATACTTAGGAGTTGTCCCCAAACGTAGAAAAAATACAATTTTTAAGCACGTTTCACGTGTTATACGAAATTTAAAACCCACATGACACATTGCACGTTTGATGTAAAGTTAGCGATATTTAGTATTGCCTTACTAAAAGGACATAAAGAACCGTTTTTGGTATACGGAATATTTTTTCTGAAAAAAAACTCGATAGTTCGATTTCAAGAAATAGCCAAATTTCTGGACTTATAGTTCCGAAGATATTTTAATTCTTGCTTAGGTGGCCGCAATTCCCCCACCTTCCCCTTAACACTAAATAATTAAAATATAATTATTAAATTATTATTTATTATATTTGTTTACTTCAAGTTCTAAATTACTTCAGAGAGTAACAATTATACTATTAATACCTATAATATATTACTTATTCACAATTTTTTTGGTTTTGCTCTAGTGGCTCGTAAGTACGCCACTGTACATAACAAAAGATATATTTTTCCGATTATTTTAATTTTCCACCGAAAAATAAGTATGTATCAATCCTGATACATGTATTAGGATTTAACATCAACTCGTACACCATTAGACTTGTTTTATTAAATTATTTTAATAACAAATATATAAAAATATTTTTATACATTATTTTTAAACAATTATTACAGATTATTAAAATGTAAGTCTATTATCTTAATAAATTTAGAATTTGTTAATCGTACAGTTTTTTAAAAAGTATAAATACTTATATAAATTTATATTTTTTAGTAAAAACTAATAGGATAGCATCAGAACAAGGTTATCTTACTTTAAGAACAGCACAATTCATAATACAAGTTTAAAAGTACATATACTTATAATAATATCATTAATGTACGTTTAAACTATACAATTGGAATAGTAAAAATAAAAATATCAGAAAAATAACTACAGCATATAATTTATTTTAACAAAATTCGTCTACAGTAATGACATTCAGTAAAATTATTTATAATATCGTCAACATTATGCTTCAGTTTTCTATATAGAAATAAGTATGCTTAATAGGTAGATAGATTATTGTGAAGCATGGAATTTGAAATCAATTGTTACATTTATTCAAATCTACTGTTTCGGATATCACTTTCATAATCCATCTTCATTTTGATTTTTGAAAAGTAACATTTGTTCAACACTTTCATTTTCTGAAGCACAACCGGTAGCATATTCAGATATGCTGTATTTCTCTCAAACGTTTTTATGTTGCTTGGAAAATTATTTAAATACTGTAATGATTCAATCCAGTCAGCTTACACTGAGCCGTTTACGACCTTTTGCTTTTTTAGGGTCGATATGGAGTCATAGGGATAGAGTTCAACGCTGTGGCTTGGTTACCGTGAATACAGTGGAAAAAGCTGCCCCAAGACGCATTCTAATTCAAGGCGTTATGTACGGTTTACCTGTATTAAATTTTTATTTATAAGTCAAATACCTAAAATGTTTATAACAGCACAGGTATATGCTATTAACAATTGTCATTTAAATATAAAAATTAATGTTTAAAAATTAATATAATCAAATGAGATGGATGATTACTATTTACTCCTTAATAATATGTCATGCTAGCAGCACAACTAGCACCATTAATAATTGTATAATGTATACACATAGTGTCAGTGTTGGCATTACTGGGAGGCGGTATTTTTCGGGCGACGTTTTGCGGTGTAACCCTCCGGGCGAATGGTGGCGGCGCCTGTACAGCAAAGCTGAACTACCAAAATGCCTGAAGTATTCGACCCCAGATTTTTACTGATCAGAAGTTGAGTGGCGTCACCTTATCTTCTCTACATCGTAGTCAATACAAATAACATTGACATTCTGGTATTATCATTTATTATATTTGATAATATATAGCTGTGTTTGTGGTAAACTCAGCTTATTGGTGTTGTTGCTATATAGTGCATTTGTCGCTTACCCGTAAACAAAAATGTTATGATCACAAACCACATAAGTATCTGTAATCTGTAAATTGTAATTTGATGTTTATTTATGATTAAATAGATTCGTATTTCGTTAAGCAAACTTAATTGTGTTTAAGTTGTGAATGCAATTAATAGTAAATAAATATTAGCACACTTTAAACAAACGTTTATTATGTTTTTAGGGATAACGTGGATAGTTTAATTTGTGAAAATTGTTTAGTAAGTGTATTTTTTTAAACGAAACCTATTTAGGCCCGAAGAAGTCGTACTTCTTTATCTATTATTGACATGCTTAATTTAAATAATATAATTTCAATTTAGTCTTATTATTAAATAGCTGTTGAATTACTATTTTGTTATAGAGATTTATCCTATTAAGTACCTACTCTACTTATTTTTGTTTACTAAATGTAACTTTTGTAATGTAACTAAATGTAATGAATGAATGTTTAATTTTGGATAACAACTATTTTGTTATTTTTTTTTGGTAAATGGACTTAAATTTTAAAAATAATGTCAGATATATTTATCAAAAACATTGCTTGTTGTCAGTTGTCACTTATGCTTTTGGACATTAATTTAAATACCAATGCTGATGTATTGAAAAACGTAGTTCTTTTAAATATTATTGTTTTTTAATTTTATGCTACTAATTAGTCACTAGTAGACAGTAGTCAAATTACAAATGAATGAAAATACAATTTTGTTTAGTTAAAAAAGAAATTGATAACTGATATTAATTATTATATAATGTTTTGGCTTGACTTCTGTGCAACACAAGAAGTTTTGTTGTTTTATCACTTTGATTTTGGTAGTTTAGTTTGTGTTTAAAACATCTTAAATATAGTTGGTTGTATATACCTTCTAACCATCGATATGTAAGCTTTTGTTGTATCCTTATTTCTTTAAAGGTGTGATGGTTGTCCAATTAACATTAATTAAAAGCCTAAGCCAAATAGTAAAAATGGGTTAATCTACAAACTTTGTAAATTAAATTAAATATGTTTTTTTTTTAGTTTTCACTAAAAATATGATAATTATTATTTATGTTTAAGTGTTGCATTTATATGTACCAAAATTAAAAGCTTTGCTCTTAAAAACTTAACACAGTATGATTATTTAAGCTATCATTTTTTAAGCTTAGCATACTCAATAAAAAAATGTATGTTAAGTTAATTTCAATTTTTTTGTTTTTAGATAAAAAGTAATTATGCATAGAAGTATAGGAAAAAGAATTCGTATGGATGATCCTCCTCCAATGGAATACGATGTTCCTGGAACGCCAAGTAGTTCTATTCATCCAAGTCCAATGACTCCCAGCCGATCAGAATATCAAGAACATTACAACCCTTATGCAAATTACCAAAATGTCCAAACACCAAGGTAAAACTATATAGTTTAATTTAACGGTTTTTTGCAGAAAATATTACTTCCTTAGCATTTTTGACTTGGAATCGTTTTAATGGTACTTTTTGGTAGTCTTTACAGAGAAAAGTTACTTTACAGTCGTCTATTTGTACGTGTTGGTGCTATACAGAATATAGTCAGAGTAGTTGTTAGCTTTTGTTACAAATTTCATTAAATAATTATATAACTGAATTTTTGATGTGTTAATAGCTTAGAGTCTACTGAACAAGTACACCATACCCAAAAATTCACACCTATCAAAATTGCTGCTAAAATATGAAAATTTAAGGTGTTTTTTTGGTACTTTCTTTGTATAATGTGTACCTGTTCAGTAGACTTCTAAAATATAAATAAATCAAAGGTTCAGCTCAAACTATGGAGTAGGAATAAAGTTATGCATAGTTTAATACACAAGTGTTGAAACCTATGTTAAATCCCATTTAAACTTTAATGTTTCAAATTTTTTTTTTATCTCAATTATTATGTTTCAAACTTTTTTAGGAGGCGTCGAGATTAAAATTTAAAAATCTACTTTTTAAGAGTTACCCTAATATACATATATATGACCTCCATACTAACGTTTTGGAAGATTAAAGTTTTGTGGTTTTAAATTTAGAATATAAACTTAAAGTCAATCCAGATACTGTATCCTCATATTATTATATGTATATATAATAATGTACATTTTTTAGATCTGAAGTTTTCGGAATGAATCATTATCAAGAACCTGGTATGTCAGATAATAATTATGATCAGATGCAAATAGGACAACAACCACAGTCTTTGATGACGTACGGATCTGCTCATCATCAAGCTTCACCATCTGTTCATGGTGATATGCAAGATAACCATATGCCCGTTCATGATGAAATGTCAAATTTACATTTAGATAATCAAATGCCATCCACAAGTAACGATGTTGATCAGGTGGGTAATGTTCGAATGACTAGAGCTAGAACAAGAGGTAAGGATATTTTAACATTAATATGTATTATATTTGTTTTTTTTTTCCATTCAAATTTTATATTAAAATCATCATATTAAAGGTGTTACATATCCTCCTCAAAGAAATGTAACTCTTTCTCCATCGCCACCTCCTGAGAAAAAGTTGGAAAAACGTAGACCCGGAAGACCACCTGGAAGGCCTCCAGGGTCAAAGAAACAACCAGTTCAAGCACCGCCTGTTGATTTGCAATTCGAAAATGATGGTACATTGTATGGTACAATTAAAAATGGTCGTATATCCTTACAAGTATGCTATTTTTTTTAATTAGTTTGAATAAATGTAAATTTAAGCTTCTTTTAAACTATTAGGAACATCAAAAATAAGATATGGTGTTGTCTGTATCTATAATAATATAATGTAATAGTTGTTATGCTCGCGAAAATTCAAAACCTATTGAACCCATTTTCACAATACTTTGAATTTTCACATTGGGCATTATTTTCCCCCATCTCATACAAGTCGCTTATTTAGGAGATCATTTTAGATCAAAAAGATTGTAAAAAGCCAGCGTAGTGTGAATAGGTCACAGGTATTCAGAAATAGCTGAAGATACTATTACTTAATTTTTTGGAGGTTTCTCTTTAAAAAAATGTATGTCTACAAATGGTAATATTTGTATGCTATTAATATTTTAAGTTAAGAATAATCTATTACAAATTTTAACTGGTCAACTGAAACATTCACAATATTGAAAGAAAAAAAATATAATACCTATAGTCGACGACACAAAAACTGACCCATGACCGACGCGACTTTAGCGGCCGTTTCCCGTCAGGGGTTAACATAATGATGGAAATAAATGGCAGGCGGAAAACTGTTCAGCCTAAGAACCCATGCATCACGGGCGGGGTGTCGTATGAGGGTGGCAGCACTCACGGGCAAGTTTTCGTGTCGGATCTGCCTTTTACCTTCTCAGCTTGACATTGAAGCTAAAACATAACAAATTGATTTTTGAATGTTCACATAAATAAATGTGCTCGCACAGATGAACAAAATATAAATGTTTAAACAACTATCTTTTTTTTTTATTATTATCAAGAAGAAAATATAAATTTTGTCTTGTCTGTTCCTCACTCCTTTTTTACTTCATTGTTTAAATTTTATTGTATTTTACAATAATTTAAAAAAAAAAATTTAGGTTGTTGTTGATGATTGGATTGAGCAGTACAAAATTAACAAAGACGAAGCACTGCTTGTATTGATGCAATTTTTCATTAATGCTGCTGGTTGTAAAGGTGTAATTACTTTATCCATGTTGGAAAATATGGAGCATGCCGCTATTATTAGGAAAATGACAGAAGAGTTTGATGAAGTAAGAAAACATGTCAGCTCTCATTATTTAAAATATTAATATTAATATTATCATTTTTTTAGGAGAGTGGAGAATATCCTCTTATTATGAGTGGTATTCAATGGAAAAAGTTTCGGTCAAATTTTTGTGATTTTGTTGCACAATTAGTGAAGCAGTGTCAATATTCCATTATATATGATCAATATTTAATGGATAATATGATTTCCCTTTTGACGGGGTTATCAGACTCTCAAGTTCGAGCTTTTAGACACACTGCTACACTTGCCGGTATACAATTATTAATAACATATTATATTAGTAATCAATAATAAATTCTATCAATTAAATCGTTTTGTTGTTGGTTTATAGCTATGAAGTTAATGACTGCTCTAGTAGATGTTGCTCTTATAGTTTCTGTTAATCTGGATAACACACAACGGCAATATGAAGCAGAACGACAAAAAACCAGAGATAAAAGAGCTAGTGATCGTTTGGAGACATTAATGGCTAAAAGACAGGAACTTGAAGAGAACATGGATGAAATCAAAAACATGCTAACATATATGTTTAAATCAGTATTTGTTCACAGATATAGGTATACTTCATAGATAAACTTTTTTTGAAAAAAAAACAAATATTATACAAATTAAATGTTTAGGGATACATTGCCTGAAATAAGAGCTATATGTATGGCAGAAATTGGAGTGTGGATGAAAAAATTTCACCAAAATTTCTTAGATGATTCGTATTTGAAATATATAGGATGGACTCTACATGACAAAGTGGGGGAAGTGCGTTTAAAGTGTTTGCAGGTATTGACATCTTAAATTTTAGGCCATCATTAACATTGATGTCATTAAAACTAATTCGTATTTGAAATAATAATAAATAGTCCAAATATTAACTAGTACACCATATATGTAGGCTTTGCAACCTTTATATGCTTCTGAAGATTTGAAAAGCAAGTTGGAACTCTTTACCAGCAAATTTAAGGACAGAATCGTTGCAATGACTTTGGATAAAGAATACGATGTTGCAGTTCAAGCTGTCAGATTAGTCATAAGTATTTTAAAGTAAGTTAAATAACGTTTTATTCATCAAATTTGTGAGTAAATAAAATGTTGAAAAATATATTCAAATTACTGTGATATTTTTTACTTTGCTTTATTATATTTTTAAAAAAGTAAAAATAATCATAATGTAAATAACATCATCAGTTATTTAAAACTATGTGTCTAATCCTCAAACTGTACAAAGCATGGTTTTTAAAACTATTGAACAGTAGATAGAATGTTAGGATTTTTAGAAACTACAAGATGCCAAAAAAGTTAAACAAAATAAATTTATTTTTTAAAGGCATCATCGCGATATTTTATCTGACAAGGATTGTGAACATGTATATGAACTCGTTTACTCATCACATCGAGCTGTTGCTCAAGCTGCTGGTGAGTTTCTAAACGAACGCTTATTTAAACCAGAAGAAGACATGAAGACTGTGAGAACAAAACGAGGAAAGAAACGGTTACCAAATACACCATTAATAAGAGATTTGGTTCAATTTTTCATTGAATCTGAGGTATGTCGTAGTTATTTGATGTGGTTGTCACATTGAATACATACTGGATTGTAATAACACATAAGGTTGTATTATTAAAATAATAATACCTGTTGTATTAAAAAAATATGTTTAGTTGCATGAACATGGAGCCTATCTAGTTGATTCGCTTATCGATTCTAATGAAATGATGAAGGATTGGGAATGTATGAGTGATTTGTTATTGGAAGAACCCGGTTTAAGTGAAGAACGAATGGACGATAGACAAGAAACAAGCTTGATTGAATTGATGGTATGCTGTATTAAACAAGCAGCGACTGGAGAAGCACCCGTGGGACGAGGGCCAAATAGAAAAGTAAATATCTTTATTAGAAATTTCTATTTAATATTGCTGAAATTGCTTTCATGTTAAAATTATTTTAATTTATATTAATTAGATGATGTCTGTAAAAGAAGTAAAAACGGTGCAAGATGATAAACAGCGTCTAACTGAGCATTTCATCAAAGTACTACCTCCTCTTATTGACAAGTATAGAGCGGATGCTGACAAACTGATTAATTTGTTATCTATACCTCAATATTTTGATCTAGATATATATACTACATCGAGACAAGAATCTGTAAATCATTTATTTATTTTGTAATGGCTAAACTTCTGCTTTACTTTTATTGATTTCAATTTTTACAGAACTTGGATTTATTGCTTAAAAAAATTCATTTAGTAACTGACAAACACCAGAATGACGAAGTTCTTGAAACTTGCGCTAAAACTCTAGAAATACTGTGTTCCAAAAACAATTCTACTCTTGCTACTAGGTGTAGTGTACAAAAAAGCACTCTAATGGATACTATTACAAATAAACATAGAGAGGCAATGGACGATTGGAATAACCTCATCGAAGGAGTAACTATTTTATTATTTATGTATACAGTTCATAACTTTTTAGTGTACTAATTAGTTAAAAATAAATATTTTGAATGTGGCTGTGCTCCCTTGTAATCTGTCAAAAAATTACAACAAATATCAGAGTTGTTTTTTTAGCATTTTAGGTTAACCCAAAATATATATGTTTAAATAAGATTTGTTTTGCTGAATCCAAATTTATGTTCTACAAAATCATTGTTTTCGTAAATATGTAGCATGTCATTTTAAAGTTGAAAAATATGTCAATTTATTAGGTGTTTTTCTTGATTTTGAAGTAAAAAGAGTGAATTATTTCAACTTTTGATCAAAAGTCTTATAAAGAACTTCACTAATATATATTTCTATATTATTTTAGAATGAAAAGCCCGACGATGATGAAATTTACAATGTAGTAAATAGCATGAAAAAACTCTCAATTTTCTATTCTTGCCATAACTTGGGACCATGGAATTTATGGGACATAATATTTCAAGATTTGAAAATGGCTCATGAAGGAACCAAACCGTTGCCAGAAGAAGTAATTTTTTTAAATTCTACTCAAATTTCTATTGCTTTAAATAATTTTTAATTTTTATATGCTTTTTTCCCCGTGAAGGCAATAAAATATAGTATTTCGGCTTGCATGTTTGCTACTATGTGGGAGTTGCACAACATAGAAAATGTTTTGGAAAATGGACGCAATGAAAATATTGAAGAACAAGTGTCACAAGTAAAAAACAAACTACACGAATTCATGGATGTTTTACGTGGAATCTTAGCTCATTCCATTAATCCCCAATTTAAAGAAGAAGTATTTATTTTTTAATGTTTTTTTTTACAATTTTGTAATTTATTTTTTTGTATTAGGCATATATATCAATCTGTGACTTGTTAGTGGTGTTCTGTAATCAGCTTGGTGTTAAACACAACCCTGTGTTAGGAAGTTTAGTTTATGATTCTGACAAAGAACTTCAAGATTTACTAAACAATTTTATTCAAAAAAATGTATTTGTTTACGAACAAGAAGGTAATAAAAATAACTTAATTCTATTTATGATTTAATAATTACTATAATTGAAATCTTAAAATTAATAACATTCAATCGACAGGAGCTCAAGATGAACATTCAAAAATTGAAGAACTGCATAAAAGAAGAAACTTTTTGGCTTCTTATTGTAAGCTCATTGTATATGGAATGATTCCCGTAACGTGTGCTGCTGATATTTTCAAACATTATGTTAAAGTATACAATCAACAATAATTTTATTACTAGTATTACAGTAGTATATAAGTTGTAGGTTAATATTCATAAAAACAATTTTTTAGTCTTACAACGAGTATGGAGATATAATAAAGACAACTATCGGTAAAGCGCGAGAGATCAACAAAGTGATTTGTGCTAGAACTATGGTGGTCAGTTTAATCACATCGTTTAGAGAACTACAAATTAATAGCGGCACATTCCGCATATCCCGAACGTCTGATGAATTTAGCAGCTTAAAAGTAATAAAAGATATTTATCAAAATTACGTATAATTTTGTTGACACTTTTTTTTTCTTCTATATATTTATATATAAGGAGTTGGCCAAAAGATTCGCTCTTTCTTTTGGCTTGGACGCATTGAAAAATCGTGAAGCAATGGCTGCTTTACACCGCGAAGGTGTAGTATTTGCAGTAGGCACTGATGAAGGAATTGCTCAAGATGATCCTTCTGTACCACCCGCACATGTTGCGTTTTTGGAAATACTGGCAGAGTTTACAAACAAACTATTGAAGCAAGACAAACGTATTGTGTAAGTACTAAGAAAACAGCTTATGAGTTGTTGTTTTAAATGTTAAGAACGTTCTTACTTCAAACACATATTTTGTTTATCGTTCCTCTTTTTTTTTTTTAATAAAAAAAAAGCTATATAGTTAATAAACAAGTACGCCTTTATACTTGCAAAATATATTTAATTCGATTGATAATATTCACAACATGTCTGCAGAATATGACAAAATATTATAAATAATAAAGAAATTATTGAATTTTTATCTTCAATAAAAATATCTTTATTTTTATGCAAAATATTTAATGGTTTATTGTCAATCTTAAATCAGTGAATATTGTTTTCAATTTTATGTTATTATAAAGCAATTAGGTTTATTTAGGTGCTTATAAGTTTTTAAAAACCACTATAAAGAACCTTTACATAAAATAATGTAACAATTAATTCAAATGACAAAAAATATTAAAAACATTTTCTACATGAAAATGTATATTATGAGTAAGAAATATGAACAAGTTCAAGTGAAGATTGTTCAGTGAAAAAATATGTAGTCCATAAATCCATTTTTTCCAAACATTGGATATTTTCCGTTTTGACATAACTTTCTTTTGGGTCTGCAGCCTCAACTTTTTGGATAAACACATAACGTCAGCAGTACCTTCTAGCCGCAGTGAAGACTGGCAACCTTGGGTCATCTACAGAAATAGCTTGATGCACGGGGATGCCGAACCTGGACCAGTAACCTCCCGAAGAGCGTACACACGCAGAAATAAAAAAGAATCTTGTGAGTATAATTGTTTTTAGTTACTTGGAATTTATTTGACCAAACATTTTTTAATTATCTTGTAGACGATGATGACGATGACGGATCTGATCAGGACTTCAGGTAAATTGTTAAACTAAAATGAATTTAGTGAATTATTGCTTGGAACTTTTACATTATTTTAATAAATTTATTTATATTTTTATTATTCAGTTGTATAGTAAGTTTGATTTTATGCTTAATTTTTGATATTTTTATTTTTATCAATAGTTGTGTATTTTTTTTTTTTTTTTTTTCAGTTACTAGACACTTTATCACCAATACCATCGCAAGAATTTTTTTTATATTGTTTTTTGTGTGTTCCTATCTTTTATATCAAAATAATACTGTATTTTATAGCTGGAACGGTTTTTTTTTTTTTATTAAGTAGCAATTTAGATGATTTATTTCATATATATATAATTTATTTTTTAAACAATTATTTTGTAATAATAAAAACGAAATAATTGAATGGATCAATGTACAGCTGCATGTGTGACCATATGGTTTTTTTTCAACTTCTAAAATTAATAAAATGATCTATTACTTATTATTTATGCATGTATTTAAAAACTGGTTACATTTTAAGTACCAGTTTAATTATTACTTGGTATTAACTGTTGAATGCAAAAATTGGTAAATAATGAAATATAATTCCTGTTAGTGATTATAAAACTAACACACACTACATTATTGAAAACAAGGTATTTTTTTATGTATTTTATAAAAAATAATACCAACAAACAACGTATTGCCTTATTTATTATTATATATTAGAATGTTATTATATTGGAATTTATTTAATGCTCAATATTAGGGAAGTGTGAATATTTAAAAATTAAAATAATTAGGTATGAATTGAAATAAATATATTAAAAATATAATAGGTTATAGAGGAGTTCATAAAAAAAGTTGAATAGGGATAATTCAAATTTTATGAAATTCAAAATGTATACACTGATATACTACTATTTGGAGTAGGTGTATCAAGTGTTCACTGCTTATTCTATAATATCATTATTACTATTACTTCAATTATCTTCTTAAATAACAATGATGGCTAGTTTGCATAAAGATAAAATGAAAAATCCAGTTTTAGATTAAATTATGTAGTTACTGGCACTGAATTGTAGTTAATGCCTAATGGCATAGCAGAATCTAAAATAATAAGTGATTATAGAATTTATAAACAAAAACATTTATGAGATCTATTTAATCAATTTGAAAAAATATTATGAGTTTTGTGTATATAACCATCAATTACTGATTAATAATAATATTGTTCACATATGCAAAAAAATAAATTGATAATTTTTATAAATATTTGTGGATTGTGATTAATGAACCAAATTTTATTTGTATCATTTAATTGGATTTTAAATTAAAGTCAACAATATAATAAATAATACTATTTGGTAATTAAAACAACCAATATAGATATAGTAGTTCATCTAAGGTTGTAAATTGCAATTAAGTTCAAACTTTTGGTTTCATTATTTAATTATTAAATATTGGAACTTAGAAAATAGCAATATATATTTACAAAACTATTTATTTAAATAGTTTGATTAGTCATTCAAACTATTTAACTACTTATTTGCCCTTAATTCTCAAATAATAGTTTCATTACAAACATTTATGTACTATTTATTTAGTTATACCTTAATAAAAAATAAGTATTAAATGAAATACCGGAACGTTTTTTTTAATTGCTTAGGTTTGTCATGGCAATTATGAAATTAAAATGTTACATTCTTTAACAAAAAAAATATGAATAATTATTACAGAACTCCAACTGCCCAAATTGAAACACCTATCAAGAGAAGACGATCCAAAATAAACAAGTAAACCTATTTTTCATTAATTTAGTACTGAAGAGATGATAATTAATGAAATTTATCAAAATTTCATTATAGGTCAATACGATTTCAAGATAGATTGGAAGGACAGTCCGATAATATTTCTGACACTACTTCAGCTGGTGGATCCCGACCAACACGTCAATGTATTAATCGTTCTATACCGTACCGCTACATTCAAGAAGATGATGATGATGACGATGATGAATAAATGTAATCATTCAATAAATTAAATAATTCAATACATTTAAAAGAGAATGGATTTTTTTTAAATTATAAGTAATAACCCATTAACACTTTTAAAATAATTTTCTTATTATAAAATATAGATGTTTAAAATTGAAATTGTATGTTATACTTTTGCAAAGTATCTATAAAGTTTACTAATCCCACTACATCCTTTTTTATAGGCGTCATATGGTTTGCTATATTTCTTATCATCGATTTAGACATATTCGGTGTGATGAGAAGTAGTACTTTCGATAGGTATAGTAGTGAAAGGTGTCCCGTAGTTTCATCTGCATATACGTTAAAAGCGCTGGCTAAACATTCTGTATTGTCGTCTTGATATACTTGAGTAGTCACTAGGTAGTTAAAACCTGCTAATGTTATATCCGAAGAATTTGTTACAGAATGCAATCGGTTCTTCAAGCTAGATTGCAAGTTGATTGATTTTAGTGTCTGTTTAATCATATGTTTGGCCATCTTCCAATTCGACGAGTGGGTATAGAAAATATCGGCTACTTTATAAATATAATCTTCTCTAAAACTAATGATATTATCCATTTAATAACTTTTTTTTTTTGGAAAATAATATTAAACAATATTTATTTGTATACAAATTTGTAATTTAAATAAACTGTTAGGTTGCCATAGATAAAAACATTTTATTTAAAAGATCGATTATTTTTTTGTTTAATTCCATCGCAAAAGTAGTTTTAAAAAATGATTTTTGTAATATAGTTTGCAATATTTTTAAATAACAACCTCTTCATTTTCATTAATTGTTACACCTAAAGTTTTTCTTATATTGTCTAATAAAACTGCATTTTCTATACTTAAAGACCATGGAATTACACTCGATTGATTTTGACCTTAAACAAAAAAATTAAAAGATTATCCCCTTGTTCAGAAATCATATTAAAAGTAATAAAAATACCTAATTTTAAAAATGTATATTTATCAAATCTAAAAATAATGTTACGAAGAACACTAAGTGTAAATTCCGGATTTAACTATTAGTTGCGACCATTAACTCAATATCCAAATATTTTGGTTGGTGATCAATTTATCAAAATTATCATTCAATTAAAACAGACAATTTATATCTGTAACAAGTTCAAATCGAACAATTGCAATATTGTGTTAATGGTTTCAATCAATAGATAAACACATTATTTATAATTCGTTTTTTTAAACACTATAAAACTATAGCTTTTAGGAAGTTCTAAATTTAAGTCAATCAAAAATTTTAACTAACATATTATATGATTAAAAAAATGTTTTGACTGGAGAGAAAATTAAAAATTTTAATTCCTATGCTACTTATTTTGTATGACATAACATATTTTATGGTAATTTTAATATGGCAATATAATACAATTGTAATAATTACTGTTTATAAGACATTTTCCGACTTCATTAATTTCATAAATAAACTGTACGCTATTTCTGTACTTAGTAGGCCATTTAGTTTGTGGCTGATCAATATCGGTATCAACACCATTAATGGTAATTTTGGATGCAGCCCAAAATGGATTATAAAGCTATACAATATTATTGTTAATTTAATTTCATCATAATATTTATGTAACAACTATTACTACTATTCTCACTTTAATATTTCCTTTTGTACCATATATAACTGCTTCATTGGGTAACTTTACTTTAAAATGACTAGTAAAGGAAGATATACGGCCAGCACTGTATTTGAGTACTACACTAGCGTCCTTATCGTACCCTTTATCGGTCGTTTGTCCACAAGCACCATAGATTTGCGGTTTGTCCGGACCAAATAACATCTGACTCAAGTATATCGAAAACACACCCAGTTCGATTATAGATCCTCCACTGTTCCGTCTAACAAATTTGTCATTTAAAATGATATTTTGAAAAATAACAAAATACTCATTTAATTATAAAAGTCCTTTACTGTTGTATTAAGAACTCAGGCATTGGCGTTCCAAAAGAAGATATAATTTGTAAAGGTATTCCAATAGTACCTTTGGCAATTTCGTTTTTTAAAGTTACAAATGCAGGTGTAAAAAACATCCACATAGACTCCATGAGAAACAAACGCTTGTTCTTGGCCAACTAATACAAATCAATGAATGGGAGAAAACATATTAATCTACTGTTATTAAAATAAATGAATTACCTCTATAAGCTCTTTGACTTGTTTTACATTTTGACAAAACGGTTCTTCGCATAATACATTTTTTCCATTTTCCAGCATCAATTTACATAGTGAATAATGATATTCGTTCAATGTACCAATATAAACTATATCTAATAACAAATTTTTTTTGTAACTTGCTATATAGTTAAATGTACAAAAATAGATATGCTAAGGTGATATATACATAAATATATATATGTATTTATAGTGTCGTTACTTCTTAACGCCTTACCAACTTCAGTATCCTTCGCAACGGCTAAATATGAATCGTACGCCTTTGGAATTCCAAATTGTTTAGCAAATTCTTGTGATCGCAATGAATCTTTTGATGCTACTGCAATAGCGTAGTGTTCTGTGGGAGGTAGCGTTACCATTGCTGTAACAAAATCGTGGGAAATATTACTAGTACCTAATATTCCCCACTTAATGGTCATTTTTTAAATTTGTTTTTTATATAATTACGATACTATAATATACTGTTAAATATTGTAAAAATAAAGTCAATTGTATCGTGTAAATGTAACAATCTAAAAAATTGTATTGAAGTAACAAAAAGTTAAGTTTACAAATGTTAAATTACAGTGCAGCAATTTAACTTTTTTCTATCCTTTATATAAGTAAAATACAGCACACATATAACTATATAGCTGTTAAGATAAACATTATCAGCATACATTATTTTTTTACAGAGAATATTATTATGTAATTTGTATTAATTATCTAAAATGACCTTTGTACTGATATAAACTTATAAAAACACTTTTTCAATCTAAACTTTTTGTAACAGTAACCAGATATTTATGAGCTCACAGGACGTCAAACGATTTAGGTATAATAACTATTAAATTGCCCTTCTTATTTATTAAATTTTAAAATATCGAAAACTTTTTTAGAAAATAGTATTATTTACTGACAAAAGTAAATACATTTAAAATTTATAATCTTTGGTGATGTCTATCTGAAGTAGTACACAATTTCGAATGAAAATTGTATACATGTTGTTTTATTTATAAAAGCAATTAGGTATCTACATGAACAGTACCTCAGTTTCTTGAGAATATACGCAAATGCCTGAGAAATGTCAGATAACATTATATTAGTCAGCGAATATTGTTTTTGATAACTAACAAACATCATCAATATGTAGATTTTAGATTTAAAACAAGAAGTAAATATTTGAAATGGACAGTGTGTCATCACTCATCAGTCAGTAGTATTTACTAATGGAGAAATGAGAATTGACATTAGAGATTACTAAGCCAGGGCCGATACAAGTTCCAATTATACTAGAGACGTAAAGGCCCGATTTATGGTTACCTATAAGAATAACAAATATATCAACAATAATCATTTTTTAAATTTTGACGCAGGCGTTGGCATACAAAAAATTAATAGAGATCGAATTATTTAATGTTCTTATAAATTTTGAGTAATCCACAATCTGAACGCACGGCAGCGCAAGTTCCAGAAATGACAGTGTATCTTTACACGAACCAATTCACCCAGTTTTTTTAACCCACATATCTCTGTTTCCTTTTAAGGTAAGCTTTTAAAATTTGAAACATAGATTTAGCTCAATTAGCTTAGGATACTGTAAAACATTGAGCCTTTAATAGTAAGCCTTTTTAAAAGGGAATAATTTCAAAGTTTTCATTTTTGTTACTGACAGCTGACTCGTCATCAAAATTATAAAACACTTCCGTGAAATTGGCACAAAGATAGGTCTTATAGTCTTATAGTGTAACTTAAGGGAAAAATCTGAAAGTTGGAATTTTCTTAAACTTAATGGCGCTCTATGGAGTGTAGTTCTTAATGCATTATGTGACGCACATGAATATTACTTGATTAGATTAGTACGGGTTTTTTATTAATAAATTTGGAAATCATAGATTCCCGCGCCGTCGAAACAAACATTCTTTTAGACTTAAGGGTTACAATATGGCAATAGCTAATAAGCAATTGTTTGTAATTGACAGTAAATACTTATCAAACACCTTTATTGTAAGTATAAAAAAATAGCAAGTCCCGCTTTTCTAAGAAAAATTGTATTTAATTTAATTTATAGTGTTCATTTTGCTAGAAGCGCGTTTGTTGATTAACCCATCTCTGTTTGAAATACATAAATTAAATAAACAACCCATTCCTTACTATGCAGTTCTAGATACAGTTTAAACAAATATTATGTTCTATTTAGTCTACGGTAATAGAACATAGATAATAATTAATAAGTAACAATAATTACATAATGAGTACATTGTTGGATGAGCGGTTTATATTTTAGGAATAATCTTAGTTCACAATACTTTTTGATGTACCATATTTCATATATTTTAATGCCACGGGAAGGGATATATCTCCTTAAGTTATAAACTTTATTTTTGGCCAGTTGAATATTTCATATACGATTTCTTATCTATACAGACTTTGCCACGTATACTATTAGGTTCAGTGAAATCGTGAATCAAGACACAAAATAAGAGAAAAAACAGTACATAGCAGTCGGGGATTATTGGGTGGAGCATATTGGGATCGGAGAAGTCTCAGCGATCTTCAAGAATTATGATAACTGAAAGTGAAAAATAAACTATCAAATAGACGATTCGATGCAAATGCGTAGATGTTAGAAATATTAAATATAGACAAAAGTATTATAAAAGCAATAATAAGCTTAAAGTTGTATTTTTAGATAAAGGGTATTGTCTATCCTAATAATTATTTGTTGACAGTTATCCGTACATCGTAATAAATATGGGTACAGAGTAATGAAAAGGTTTTCTAGACACCCGTTATCTTGTTGACTGGATTCTTTCACATATTGCAACTTGGATATTAAATACGACACGAGTGTGATTTTCCCATTTTTTGGGGTTTTCCTTAATAGGAATTTCCCAAAGGACTTTTGGGAAAATTGTTTATGTTAAAAAAAACACATCATTATGTAAAAACATTTTCGTATCGAAGCTAATGAAGGTTAATATTCATTATATTAAATGGCAAATGTCATGGAAATATTTTTACATTAATAGTCCAAGTGTTGTTATGTGTTTGCTTTTCTAGCAAATCGACAAGTGTTCTGAAAAAAACTGTGAAGGTTAGATAATAAGGAGGGGATTAACACTAACACTTGTCAGGAATAGATTTATAGAGCAAAAAATAAATCGTTAATAAAACAATAAAGTACGAAGAATTATAAAACAAATTGGGAAAACATAGGAGGGGATAAGTGAAGCATAATTTGGTCGTACCGGTCTGGAAAATTCTAAATGCGTACCTATTACCCTGCATATTACAGAATGGGCATTATGAAATATAAATGATCATTCATAGTATTTGGCATTACTTATACAAATCATAGACCCATGGTACCTATATGTCTGGGGTTACAGACCGAATCATGGTTGTGATGAGTTTAATTGGTAATTCGATGAGTGCGTGTGATGTATAATGTTATGCATATTATATCGGTATGTTAGATTGTGATGTATATTATTAGGTATGCGGCGCGCCGGTTTGTTAATATTTCCCGCGCACTGTGATGTCGGTTAAACTGTGTTGACTGTTGTGCAGTTTAACGCGCGCACTCGCTACACCGCGCCGCCGTCCGTATCATCATCGCTGCCCACCGACGAGCCATCACAGTTCCGTTTCGTTATCGCTGTACACTTCTCACCGCCCACCCGCCGCCGTCAACGAGTCAGTACTCGGTCGTTGTCATAGCTGTGCTGGTACTTACAAAGATTCGTAAGTTTTTTTTAGTTTTTTATCCTGGGAGCCGAGAAAAATTATTATCGTTTTTCTGGACGTCCGGCGGCGACACCTTCATCATAAAATACTACGTTTACATCGTAACGTCGTCGACGTTGAGTAGTGTACCTACTGTCGCGTACGCAAAACGTCTTTTGGTTTTGAAAAAAAAAAAAATCCAATACACACACACACACACAATACCTTACTTGTAGTTGTATTGTATTTGTTATTTAGTCTACTTACGGGCCGGTCCCGTGACGTTCGGTGTTTGTCGCGCGACCACGTAAATCGCACAACATAATATAATAGGTAATATTGTTTTCTTTTAAAACGGCAGCCGAGTGAAAATACAAAATTCGGAGTATGTCCAAAAAACATCAGACCAGCGTCGTCGGGCTCGCTCAGATTGTCGCCTGACGGGACACTACCAGACATCACTATCGTTTGGCGTTGTAAATGTTCGAAGGTTAGTACAAGACAACAATAATTATTATTATAACGATAATAAGTAAAACGTTGTCCACGACATACATAATTGCGGTTGATATCAAAATGAATATAGGTCGAATTCTTAATGTTGATTACAGTAATATGCAATTACTATAATTAAACAGCCCGAATTAAATTCCGAATAAGACTATGGTTTCACTACTTATAATAATTATTATCACCTTGTTCTTCTTTTGCAATTCACCGCTTTAGATTTTTTTTTAAAATTATAATATTAATTTAATGTGTTTGTGTTGCCACCCAGAGATATCTTGTAATATCTAGAATTAAATATATTTTACCAAGCTTGTCTAGTATATTTTTTTGGCTTTTATTTTGTTTGTAGAAAAAAGGAAACGATTAAAATGTGTATTTTAAATGTACTTAATTGTACAATAAACTTACGTAAACATAAGCTATTATCATTTATCAGTCAATCCATTAGATACATACATTCTTCTATTCATAGTTGGCTTATTATAATAGTTATATACATTTTTCCATATTATTATGTATTTTTCAATAGGTGGCTAAAACTATCTTAAAGAATGGTATCACTTTTTATTTGAACTTCTTTTCTTAGAAACAAATCAATAGTATTTTATTTTAGGGTTTACTAATAAAAATAATTGATAATTTTTCTGTACTAATTATACTAATTCTCTAAGGGTATTCATAACAGATGGATTTGTAAATATTTACTGACTGAAGTAATCTCCTAGTGGAGATATTTAAGTCTGAATTTATACTGTTGTTACTTGTTATAAAGTATGGATTAAATTAAGTACAAACTATGAAGAATTATGGTGAAGACAATTATTTTAGCCTATTATTTTATTTTTTTTTTATGGAGAAAAGAAGTAAAGACACTTGCCTATTAAGATGTTTTATGGAGTTATCAGAAATATAATATAGCATAGATCTTAAATTATAAAATCAACACTTAGTTGGTATTAAAATATAATCTGTCTTGTTACAGTAAATTATTCACTGTAATATTATTTTAATTTTTAGGTAGTCTTTCATCATGGGGAAGCTGCTTTCCAAGATTTTTGGTAACAAAGAGATGAGAATACTTATGCTTGGTTTAGATGCAGCTGGTAAAACAAGTATCCTTTGCTTACCTATAATTATATAACACACATGCAATATGGTTTTACTATATTATAATTTATAACATAATAACTTAGTTACGTTAAGTTAACATTATTATTAGTAATACAATTTTAGTAGCGAGGGGTGATTTCTAAAATCAAGTAGATTTAAAAAATACTGTTTTTTAAATTAGTATAAATATATTTGTGTTTTAAAATAAATTAAAGTGAGTAGATATCATCTGATAAGTCTCATGGTCTCCTATGACAATAGGCAATTGCTGAACTGTGTAAAATTGTAGAATGATGCAAGTGTTTATAGTACATTTTATTTCACAAGTATTCTAATTGGGATTTTTAGATGTTTAAGTGTATTCTAGTAATTTGTTATTTAAAGTTATATTTGTGTGCCTTGGCTTAGATAGTTTAACATAAGGTCAAAATAATTTTGATTCATTTTTATGGTTTAGATAGCTTTTATTTAATAGTGGCTTTTATTTTAGGTTTTTTTTAAGTTACCAAAAATTTGCTATGGTATACAAATAAAGTGCTAAATTTGAGCATGATTGACATAATAGAACACATATTAGATAAATTTTTGATGTGAGACTTACATATACATATAATGTTTAAATTTGAATTGCTAATTACCTACAACATTTAAAACACTAAATACTTAAGGGTGAAATAGTAATAATTAAAAAACTTTTAACATTTTCCTATTGTACATGAAGCTATTTTGTATAAACTCAAATTGGGTCAATCTGTGACAACCATACCTACTGTCGGTTTCAATGTCGAAACAGTCATCTATAAAAATGTTAAAATAAATGTTTGGGTGAGTATTTAATATTTCTAAGAATTTCACATCATACATGCACTGCTTTGAAAAAATTAGCTTTTTCAAAATGCCAACGAAAAATAACACATTTCCTTTTACAAATGAAGGAATGAAGAGTTGTTTTCCATTTAAACGGATGATTTTTTTTTGGAGCTTTGATATATAATTTATTGGATGTATTATTGATCAGCGTCCAAGTATTAGAATGTACATTTTTCAATTAATCTATTTTTTTTTAGTTGGACAACTAAATATATTAATTAATACTTCGTTTTGAAAAAAAAAATTGTCACTTATGACTACAATTTAAAAAGTTCAGCAAAAAAGTAAAACCTTACGGAAAATAAGAATTTTAAAACTAGTTTCTCAAGAGTAGTACCTTATACCTGTTCACTATCTGTATTTCTAAATATATTCATTTATAGATTTTTTTTTTTTTAAGGATGTCGGGGGCCAAGATAAAATTAGGCCGTTGTGGCGACACTACTACACAGGTACTCAAGGTTTAATTTTTGTTGTGGACTGTGCCGATCGTGACCGTATCGATGAAGCTAAGCAAGAACTACATAGAATAATAAACGATAGAGAAATGAGGGATGCTATTATTTTAATTTTTGCCAATAAACAAGACTTAACAAATGGTATGTATATAAAAACTTGATTTAAAAACCGAGTTGACAAAAAAAAACCAGCAGGACCAACAAATATGTGGTATTTACTCATAAATATTGGGTTCATGTTGCGGCTTTTTTTTAAAAAAAAAAATCAGGGTTATTCAGATAACTAAATTCAGATTTTGTACAGCGATGAAGCCACATGAAATTCAAGAAAAGCTTGGACTGACGAGAATACGAGATAGAAACTGGTATGTTCAGCCATCTTGTGCTACTACGGGTGATGGCTTGCACGAAGGTCTTGCATGGCTCACATCAAATTTTAAACAGTGACACCAAAGTATCGTACAATACTTAATATATGTCATTATTATGCAAATTATATATGATAAAAGTTAATATGAAAAACAAATTCCATGTGTACAATATTTTGTATATGACTTGTTAAACAAAAATATTGAACATCAATTGTTAATATGAAATATAATTTTTTTATTTATTTAGAAACTACCGTATGAAACGACTGGCCTAATGATTTTTTTCTCAGCTTTTAATATTGTAACTATATTTAATTTGTATTGAACAAAAAACTTTTATTTAAAATATTTTTGCAATACGCTCATCCCACATACATAAAAACTAATTTCTATGTATTCATATAAATAATTCAACAAGCAATACTACATCTATCTCAGTATAATGTGTAATGATAATTATGATTATTGCTATTCAATATACATTTTTTTTTATCAAAACCCATATTTGTTAGTACTAATATTTGTAATATTTTATACATATTTACACGCAGTTTAAAATCATTGGGATTCTATTTAATGAAATTTAAAATAAATGTTTCATATTGTGTGAAAGAATCCTATTTTTTATTTGAATTGTTATTTATTATTTTGTACAAAATATTGAATAAATAAAAAAAAAACGTTATGATAATACTATCTATTTATTTTTAATTATGTACTTGTATTATTTTATTATGTTTGACATAGAAATCAAAACTTATGACCAATATTATATCTTACTTTTATATTTAATGCTATAATTAGCATTTGTTAAAATAGAAATATGTTATAATTACTAGGTAGGTAAGGATTATTTGATTAATTTTACAGAATAATAATCAAAACAACCTACAGTTTATACAAAAAAAAAAAGTTAATAATTGATTTACTTCTTGTATCCAAGCCATTAATTTGTATTAATGTATTCCTATTGTTAATCGTGTTTGAAATATGTAAGGTTGGAAAAAACAAATAAGTATAACTTTTTCCATTATTAAAAAAAAAATTGTTCTCAACATTATATTTGTTTAAAAAACAATCATTAGAAAAAGTAATCTAAATTTCCTAATATTAATAAAGTCAACATGTATGTATGACTACATATAACATTTTCTCAGAGAAAACTTTGTAATGTACAATAATAAAAATAAAGGTATAACAATGGCAGCTATTACATCAAATAAGTACGTTTCATACCAATTCAAATAGATTTGTTCAGTTTTTAACAATGTGGGTTTGTCATGGTTTTTTATGATGTATTCTGTCCAATAAATTGCAGTCTGAAGAGGAGTTTGAGGTCGATCAAAGTACAATTGTTGAAGTTCTTTCATGTTATTGCTTATAGATTTAAATAAAAGGTATTAAATAAAACGACATATTATTGGTATGAATTTTAGTTACCTCATCTCTATAGATAACGCACTTTGAATGGCATTGTACAGGTTTTGACTATTTAGTTTTTCATATTCAACCAAGACACCTACTTTTTTTTCAACTAGATGTAGTACATTTGTTGGTTGATCACCAAATATTGGTATTCCTACAACAGGTTTACCACAATGAATAGCTTCATACACACTCATCAATCCACCGTGTGAAATAAATACTAATACTTTAGGGTGAGCTATAAAAAAAAAATTAAGATTATTATAATTTACAACGACCAATGATACAAATACAATTATATACAAAACATTTGGATTATCTACCTAGAAGATCTCTTTGTGGTAACCACTTCACTAGTTTGACATTTGACGGTGCTGTAATATTGCTGTTTACATCAAATTTCATTAATACTCTTTGTTTGAGTTTGGAAAAAGCTGTGAAAATGTTGTTTAATTTATCTTGTCCTACTGTAGCCTCTGAAACTATGGAACCCAAACTAAAAATAATAACTCCAAATTCAGAGTTGTCAAGAAATTCTTTTAAATCCTAAAAATATATAAATATTTGCAAATTTTATTAAATGATGTGACTAGAACAACCAATAAGTTTACCTCGGGGAGAGATTTTGCATCTAATACATGGATTCCGCCAATTTCTACCATTCCCGGAGCAAGCGGTAAGGCCTTATGTATGCTATGATGTGAATTCACTAGTACCAAACTTATATTATTCATTGCATCCATCAATGAAGACACTTTCAATCCATAATGTTTTTCGGCAGAAAATTGTACTTTTGGATTAAACAACCAATTGAAGATGCCATAAAATATTAAATTTTTAACTATACTACCAGTTCGTTGAACGAGAGGTGCATTTTCACTTATTGGCATCAATATGTTGGACATATAGGACCAATTTGGCGGTTCTCCAATAATTTGATGAATCCATGGAAACGAAAACATCGGACACACAGCAATGATCGGTGCATTTAAAATCGTAGCGATAGGTGCGAACAGTGATGTGGTGGTAAGCATTTCAGTAATGACTAGATCAAATTTCCGTTTGGACAATAGAAGGTCTACTATTGGTGGGTGGCTTAGGATATTCATATAAAGATCTGAATTGACAACTACACGATTAACCATGCTAATTATAGTTGGCTTCTTAGTTCCAAATTTTGAATGCGGCTTTATTCCAGCTATATTAATGTGTGTCAAGTTTTGTCGAAAGTCTGAATCTGGAAAATTTGTAATGGACAATATATTATGACCTCGGTCCAAGAGGCTATGTATGAGTGGACGGACTACACGGTAATGACTTTGGGCAGTCGTTGGAAATATAACTAGAATATCAGACGGACGAATTTGTACAACAACAGCACAAATAACCACTATGTGCAAAATTAACTTCATTGTTTAAATCAAATTAAATATATTTACAACAAATTTAAAAAAAGGATAAAAAAAAAATTATTCAATACTTTTTTGAAAAAAATTTAAAACTATACTTATTCTGAAAGTTATCACACTGAAAATGTTGAATGTTGTTAGAAAACGTTAAAATAAATAATAATTATTAACAATCATCTCTCAATTTTTGGTTGTAAGTAAAGGTCCAGACTAAATGGTAATACCTACATAATTAAATTGATATTATGCTTTGAAGAGACATAGTGTTTAAGAGTGGGATGTAAATGTTACTATTATGAAGTACAGGCCCTGAATATAATTATTAACTCGATAATAATCATAATAACGTACAAGAGCAATATTATGAAACATGCATCATGTTACAAAAATATTATATGCCTAATGCCATACTTGTCTATAGTACAATGTAGAGTAATCATTATTTTTAAACAACTACATCAGAGATTAAAGACGGGTTAACCTTCAACCGGAATTGATTAATATAGACAAACACGCACATATCTATATATATATATTATAAATATACATTTTGTATTTGATTAACAATATCATAAAAACACTAATTAGATGACATAATCTGTAGAATCTTCGTGCAGATAATCTGTTTTTGATATCCGTAAAAGTTATCAACACAAAAGAACCAGTTCGGCCTAGTATAACGACGGTGGTTTAAAATATATATTTCTTTAATACGTTATTTTTAAATAAATTTTTTTGGTTAACAAGTTGTTGTAAGGGCCAAATAATTAACCGTCAATAAAATGTATATTAAAATTAATATAATATATGAACGGTTAAGTGTGAACCGAAGGGCCGCTGAACTACAAAAATAACATCTATTCACATCATACATAACATAGTCATTGTATAAGGCGAGTAAGCACACATGTTACAGTGTCTTTCGACCATATTATACTAAATAAAAGGCCCATGCCCATCGTCTATGCTTTCGACTTTGATTTTATTATTTAGGTAAGGGATTTTTCGGGTGAAATTCTTTTCGAATTCTTATTTTCAAATTTGATAGGATACTTATAGGTGCTATTTTAATAAATTTCAAAATTCAACACCAAATCTTTCTTTAAATTTAAAATTTAACATTAACACAATATTAATGATTTCAAACTCGACATTTTCATATTCACAAGCGGGAAAAATTTGGGCGGCTGACATTTGATGCGACCACAGAATAGATAAATCTACATTATCGTCGTATTTTCATATTATATATATATATATATTTGTTTTTTTATTACCCATGTATTTCATGAACATGAATATTAAATAAGTTAAGATTTTTCATTGGAATAAGTGCCTAATAAAACATTTAGAAAAATATGTTTTTGTTTATAAATTAAACAATTGTCAATTTAATAAAAAAAATGTTTATTATATTTTTAATACGTCATATCACTTACCCAACAGTTAATAAATTATAGTTCATGACTGTGTTAAAGTATGAACTAATAACTGATAGAAAATACAGTGCATTAACAAATATTCATAAGCATTAATAAGGGCTTATCACTTTTATAATAATTTTTTATTAAAAAAATACAAATAAACTTAAAGGGTTTAATGCAATACACATTTAAAAAATTACGTTCAATGTAAGTATAACTTTTTTTAATTATTTACATGGAAATTATAAGTTATACCATATAAGTGTCAAGTTAATCTTCTTCCATTGTTTCATCATTGTCATCAGCTTTAGCTGGAGAACGATTCTCTGTAGCTTTAATCAGATCCGTTTGTACTACATTTTCTTCAGTATTATTTTCGGAGTCAGAATCAGAATCAGATTCAGCTCCAGGATGTGCAGGTATATTACTCTTCTTCTTAACTGAGTCTACAGTACCAGGTTTTATAAAGTTTTCAACAGGTTTTATTTCCTAAATAAAAAATTAAAATTAACAAATTAAAAATATATTAATCAACTAGAAAATTACCTGATGCATTTGTTTCAAAGCCTGGACTCTCTCTAAATAAAAATCAAATACATATTTTGCCATTTGGGGCATGTCTTGTACAATAAAAACTTGTTGTTGCACATCTTCTTTACTATCAAGTAATCTATTAGTAGGATAAAAATCAGTGGGCAACAATTGTAATTTTAGAGGTCGTTGTGTCAACTGAAAAAAGAAAAAGAAAACAAATATATGTTTTGTACTGTAATTTAACAGAATTATATAATTATTGTTCAAATTGAAAAAAAAAAATACAAAACTTACAATATTGAAGGTCGGTGAAAGTTCAAAACAGTTTCCAAAGAGTGATGCGTTAGCGAAAACATATAGGCCAAGTCTAGCTCTTGACATAGCGACAACAAGACGCCTGACATCTCTTAAATGACCAACTGTTTTTGTCCTGACTAACGACAGTAATACATAATCATTTTGTTGACCTTGGTATTTATCCACAGTAGTAACCTAATAAATAAGGAGTTGATTAATAATTATTTGTGTTGGTCAAATAGTAAATATTAAATACTTTATGAGGCCATCCAATGAGCGGATTAGAGCCACATCGCATATTTATAATTTCTCTGATTAAATGTTTTTGCCCATTATATGTACTTAATATAGTAATTTTATGTGCTGGATATCCAATAAGTCTCATGTACATGTAAACCGACACACAGTATTCGGCTTCAGCTAAATTCTGAAATATATTAGTGGGGTTTTACTAAAGTTATACTTATGAAACTTTGTATTTAGGTAAAATGTATAACAACCAACCTGGATAAAATGAGGATTTGGTTCAGTTTCACCAACACCGTTAAATAAACCGACATCAATTAGTTGATACTCGTAGTAGAAACCAGCATTGGCTTTGTGATATTCAGGTGTTGATAACACATGGTTTAGATTGCCCAAGTTATTATAACGCCAATTATACAGTTGGCTTAAACTGAAAGTGAATAAGTAAAAAAAAAAGACATCAATCATTAGATCAAAAGTGCATACAATTAAATTATTACCTCGATCGAGAACGCCCTTGAGCGTCCAAATCAATAGTCGGTACACCCAAATTTACCATTCGAGTAAATAAAGATTGCTCCATATTGGAATATTTCTGGAAAGCCATATTTTTAATAACAGGAGGCAATTGATGATGATCGCCAATCATTATCCATCTTTTCAGTCTACTAAATCCATCATCAGAGTTTTGAAGCAACAAAGGTATAAACGTTTCAATCTCTAATATTTGTGCAGATTCTTCCATTAAAATATTATCATATTTAAATCCGAGTTCAATGAGCTCTTTTCTCTTTAATGCTGCATGCGTACACGTCATTGCAATGATTTTTACTTCTTTCACCAACAAGTACCGTGAACGATCTAAGCCAGTTCTGAGCAATTCGAATGCTCTAAATTCATCGAGTTGTTTAAATATCTTTTTGATATGCCTAAAACAGCCACGAGCTATTTCTTTGTCTTCTTCTAAACTCTGACATTTAAACAATGGTTGAGGGGCATCACTGAAGAACAAGGTAAATGGGAAATTATCTTGCACTGAAGTTATTGAGATAGCCTAAAAATAGTAAAATGGTAAGATTTTTGTTAAAAACCAATACTTTAATTGAAGAACATACACAAGAGCTTTCTTCTAAATTTTTTAATGTTGATAAATAAGTATCCCATTGGGGTAGTACGTGAGACCAAAAAAAGTGCATGGCAGTTTCACAAGTATATGACATGTCTCCTTTTACGTTCATAAGGTCTTGTAGACGTTGCACTTCATTCAACAGTTGGAGTCTTTTTGCTAGAACATAGTTTACTCGTCCGTATCTATACATAAAAAAATAAAGAAATACATTATAATTCATAACTTACCAGTTAACAGTTTTAGTGTACTAATATCTCATATAAATATTTAAGAAATACTAACCGACTGAAATCTTTATCAGTTTCTAAAGCTTCTTCTCCATGACCCAAACGCAACAAATGTCTTTCATCAATGTCTAATGCCATGATTTTTTCAAATAGTTGATTTAATGCTTGATTAGAATGAGTGACGATCATTGTACGTTCATTTCTCCAATTATGATATAAGTTAGAAATAATCTGCACAGCAACATCAGTTTTTCCTGTTCCTGGTGGACCAACAACAACTGTAAGTCCAGGTTGCATGCCAGAATAAACTGCTTCAATTTGTGTAGGTGTAAAACGAATTGTATTTCTAAAATAAAAAGTTAAGTTTAAAAACTCGACTACTGCTTATATTTTAAATGTATTTTACTTTTTTGGTTGGTTATATTTATAAGGTCCTCTGTTTACAGCTCTCACTGACTGAACTATTGCTTTTTTCGTTTCTTTACCATTTGAGTCAATTGTGTCTTGAAAATGAATGCTAAACAATAGAATGATTTGTTTTTAAATGAAAAAAATCATATTTAATAATAATTTTTTTTTACCGATACGGCGGTAACATTTCTTTAACATTGTTATCATAAGAAACTATTTGATGATTTGGAAAACTAGTCAACAAATGATTCATATCCAAAAAAGTGTCATTGAAGTTCATGGATTTGATTCTATTTGGCATTCTAAAAATAAAATAAAAAAGGTTTGATAAAACGGTTTTACCTATTTTTTAATACAATGTTTTTATTTACTTATCATAACGGGCAGCTGAAGGATCACCATATCCTAAAATTATATCATGGATCCATTCCGGTACAACACATTCAGTGTTCATTAAATGACGAATTGTTTCTAATACAGCTTTGAAATTATTTTCTTTTGGTTTCCTACGCATTAGTACGTTAAAGCTTTCATAAATATCCTAGAACAGTTAACATTTTTTTTTTCAATTAATATTTTTCCAGATAATTGACAAATCAAATTATCATACAGGCTTTCCGTCAGCAACATCGTCAAGATCTTTTCTATACTGATTACAATCCAACCAGACTCGATAAGTTCTTTTTTGACCTGGTAACACTGGTCTAGGATCAGGACCTTCTTCAATTACTCGGCCCATATTGTCTAACATACCTTCGACTTCACAACCTCGAACACTAACTATTTCTGTCTGTTGAAGGAATGGTTTATTATACTCAATTCTTGAACCTATTATATAAATATATACACATTAAAAATCAATTTTTTTTTAAAAATGTAATAAAAAAAAATTTACCAATAGGTTGAGTTGCTTTAATAGTTATTAAGAAACAAACATCGTGTTTACGAATACTCTCCCATTCTTCTTGAACGTCTTTTTTCACACTCAACGTTATTGAAACATCACCTCTAACACGTGAAGGTTGCCTATCACCTTAATTTTACAAAACATTTTGATTACTTCAAAATATAGCTAAGTAGTAAACATAATAAAATCAATTCAAAAATATATCATATTATGTACCAAGATTAGGTTTAGAAACTTCAACAATCAAAAAGCTATCAATAGGTAAGGACATTTTTGAGTAACCGCTGAAGTAAACTCCGCCATCTTCAGATTTGCTGCAAGTAGTATACAAAACAAATAAAAATAAACAAAAATGTATGATAAAATAATTTAGGTAAAAATTTAAATTATTATATTTTTAATTACCAAGGATTCATGCGAGTAATAGTATCTTCAATATCTTGTCTAATCTCATCTGCATAAATAACGAATACAATTAATATATAATACGAAGGAATGATTACACGAGTACCCGTGAAAAAAGAAACTAGAGTTTAAACCCGTGTAATTAAAATACCTAGATATTTAGTAATACACGGGTATTTTTGAAAAGTACATGTGTATTTTTATTACTCGTTCAAAACTGTAACCCCTAATATATATAAATTAAAAGAAAAGAAATGATAATGGGTCTTATAACTAACTTACATGTAGATTCTAAACGAAATAATTGGAAGTTACGGAGTAAATAATCATGAAGAGTTAAAAATTGCAAATTTAATTTGGGTAACGCTAAGCAATTATTTCCATTATAGTATTCAGTCGGCACAACAGCTTCATTCCATATAATGTCTTCTGTTGGATAAAGAGGCATACTGTTTAAAAGTTTTAGTTGCGACTCTCTAGCTTCGTGTCTTGATATCTTTAAAGATTAATATTTATTATTTAATAGATAAATAAAATTAATTAAGTATTTTCATACTTACTAATAATGATAACAAAAACTCGGAATCATATCGATACCAATTTTCTGATTGTCGCTTTTCTTGGTCAGGAATTAAATTTAAATCCATTGCAATTTCCTGAAGTTCTTCGTTGCTTAAGAAAATAAAAATATAATTAAAATAATTAAATATATTTATTAACCCACAAAGCAAATATTTTTTAAAAATATTTTCAATATTTTGTCAAACTTGTTTTTAATTTTTAGTTTATTTAAACTCTGTGGTTACAATTAGTCTTTAGGATTATATAATTAATCATTACAATTAAAATGACAATTTTTATAAAAATTTAATAATGTTAATATATGTTTAAATTAATTAAAAATAATGTTAACACATTTTTAATCTGGTTAATTGATGTTTTTTCCATCAAATTTCCAAAATAAAATTTGTACTGTTAGTAATTAATAAATGATATAACTATATTATTATAATTAATATTAATAATTAATTAATTGTATTGTTTAATAATTATTTCTAAACAAATTTGTTTTGTAAATTTATAAATAAGATAGTACCTCAAACTTTTGAAATGTTTTATGAGAGAATCATAATTATCAAGAGCATTAATATTTGATAATGCAAAATCTTTAAGTTTTGTAAACTTTCCAAACACTGCAGCCTAAAAAACATAATATTTTTAAGAAATATAAGGTACATAAACGACTATCTAATTACAGTAATTCATACCTGCAATGATGCAACTTTGTCATAATGTGCAAGCATAACTTCATTTTCTGTCATAGGGTCACCAGTTGATTGACAGATTTCAAAGTGGAAGTAAAATTTTAAAATATCCAACAGTTGTTTAAAAAGATGACCTTCGAGACGTTTACTCAATGGAGCCAAGAAACAACGATCAAGTAAGTGAACATCATCCAAAACAACATGGAAAAATCTTCTGGTGGGCAAAGAAGTTTCTAAATCAATCAGCATTTCCAAAAACCGTTCACTGTAATTTAATCTATCCATGCATATTTCACCTAAAACAATAATATATGTTTTTCTAACCCATTGCAATAAATTTTTTTTTTTTTTTTTTTAATTAGCCTTTATATAAATTTTATTAAAGTACAGGAATGGAGGTTTGTGCCTATCTGTGAAAGTGAGTGCTCCTTTTACAAAAAATATGAAAATTAAAATTAATATATAACTGTAAATTATTTAAATTTCATAAGAATAAAAGTAAGATTTTATAATTTAAATAAAAAAAATGTATATTGTTTTAGATTAGCCTATGTATAAATGAAGCGTTTGTGGGGGCCATTTACTGCAAACAACAGAATGGACAACAAATGTTACCTCATGGTAGAGGTCAGATGAGGTGGCTTAATAAGATTGACTATTGTGTGTTAGAAATATCTATTTGTATTGTTATTAGTTAATAAAATATACATACACACTCGGTAACAAGCAGCAACCACTGATAAATGGCAGTATTTAATTAATTTAGTAATATTTAAAAACAAATGATATTACCTTCTAGGGGTATACTTTCTAATATGGTAATAAACTTAATACACAGTTGATGTAAAAATGTCCGTTCAAGATCAGCTCTTTCTTTATTTTTGGCTGATAGTTCTTTATCTTTTTTCTTAAGTTTATTCCACAATTTCTGCCATTTAGGCACCTGACGTAGCTCCATTAATCTACGCCTCTGTGAAAAAATATATTAAAATTAAAAAAAAAAAACTTGGACATTTTTAGTTATTTACAAAATAATATGTGTAATAATAATAGAAAAAAATTTAAGAAAATTATACCTCTTGTAAACTGCACCAAATAGATATTGAAACTAGTTTTTTCATTTTATTCCTTACTAAATCTGTTTCCATACATTGGAAACAGTGGTTTAAGAAAATAATTAGTGATATTTGCTCTTTGATACTATATTTTTCTGAAAGACACGAACATAAAACTTGATCAATAAAACCATCAAATTCATCTGGAAGTTTTTTCAAGGCCTATAAATCAAAAGTAACAGTTATAGTATTAACCTAATACATTTTCTTTTATTATATTATTTAATAACTTTACCTGCCATGGAGCTACACGCTCTCGGAACTTTTCATTTAGCATAATAACAATAGACATCATGTGGGCAAAAGTAGAATTACTTGATTTATAATTTGGCCACAAATAGTTTTCTAAATACTGACTAAATTCCAATATCATAATACGTCTTATTGAAAAACTATAATTTAAACAGACAAAAACAAAATCATTAATATATTAATGCTAATATTGTACAATAGTAGTTGTTTACTTTGATTTTTTAATTTCTTCAGTGTATATATTTTCAATTACTTGCTTGTCGAACGGCAAATAATGATCTGGAGAGACGTTTGGAGCCCAATATCTAGAGGCCAACTAGAAAATTGTATTTAAAAAGTACACACATGAGTTAAGTATGGGACGTTAAACAAGTTTAAAAACAAGCAATTTTTAGAGCCACTATTGGCTTTTTTTAAATTAAGACTGGAAACAAGATAGATGTAGTTTTATTTACATTTTATGCTTATTTCAAAATTTGATTACAAGTATTTTGCACATGAGTGATTACATAAACATAAGTCTGAAAGTGATGCAAATTTTAGTACATTATTATACTGATTGTTATTTCAAAAATGTATTAATAAATATTCATATAGTAGATAAACATTTCATTGTAATACAGAGAACGGGAATGTTGTTGCTAAAAAATTTGCTGTCTAATTCGCTTTCTAACTTTCTGCCCCCAAGTATAGCATGGAAATACATTATATAATTTTTTATATAGTTGTATAGTATTAATTTAAGTAACATGTTATATCAAAAAATATAAGATCATATTTCGTTAAACAATATTTATAGCATAAAATATGTGTATTATCAGTTCTTATCAAATCCTAATGTAAGTTTATGCATTACCTATAAGATTGTGATGCATACTTTTATTATTTATTTTTAAAGGTGAATAACGAACTTTAATTATGACCAATTGTATAGAAGTACGTATAATTATATAATCAATGTGTATTACTTGAGTAATTCGATCAGCATTAATTTGATCAATTGTGGGTGCAATGTTTTGCACAGCCGAGTGCTTGGGGTCTGTCATGATAGTCTGCAAATTATAAAAATCGGTAGTTTTATTTTTTAAAAAAGAATTAAATTAATTTACATTACTTAACTCAATAAATATAGAAAACAAAAACCGCACAACTGATTTGATAAGCCATTTCGGAGACAGGAGTACCGAGTAGTAGACTCATGGTTGAAATGGGTTGCTACCACTTTTACCAAAATGCATAAATTACAATGTCCATGACAAGTTCTTATCAGTGGGCGGAATTAGTATTGATAAGGACGGCAGGCTCCGGGTGAGTAATATTTGTTCCACAAGTTTTTTCTTCCAATGAACATTTGTTCAAATGTTTTGTGGAACAAAAGTTTATTGGGACATAATATGTGGGGAATAATTGTTTTTTGGAGAATTTAATTATATATATATATATATTGCACTTAACTATTTTACTTTTCAAATTTTTTTTTTTAGTGCAAGATAGCCATTTTGTTAAGAATAATTTGCTGAACATTTTAACTGGTCGATAACCAGATTTGGATAATTAATTTTAAATTTACTAGGTTAAAGGGTAAGATGGGAGGTGGAGTGCGATAGAAAAATGCGTGCAGATAAAAATAGCTCTATGCGCTTACTCCACCGCACTCCAGCTCCTGTCAAATCATTGTGGGTCAAATCACTGTATATTGGTAGGTAATTTATATTATGATTTTTGTTTTATGACGTTTTAAACCTTTAGTGTACTACTTTTGTATAGTACTAAAATAATTAACGATTTTTTCTTAAATTATAAGATACATATGCGTCAAAGATATTGATGATATAATATCCTAGTATTTCACATTACCTACTATTCTAAATGGTTTTAAGTGCGATACAGGTTCTGAAAGATGCAATAAGCAAACTATGGGTAGTTTTTTTAATTTTGAATATGTTATTTCCCGTTTATTTCTAAGGTATAAAATACGATTTTAATTTTTAATGTACATTTTTTTTACGTGAGATGTAGTCATTTTGAGAGAAAGGCTTTCCTATAACCCGCACAGTGCTTCAATGTTTGATTATAGTACCAAAATAAACAAAAAACTGGTTAAACAATTTTTTGAAGTTGTTCGTATTTAAATTTTTATTAAGATCTATATAATTTGCATTTTGATAATTATAGCCCTATGTAGATTATAGAAAGTCTTTATGTATCAGACAAGAAAAATTGGCAAAATCTGGTTACCCTATAATGCGTATCACTTTTCCTGTAAGGCATATTTTTAAGTAGAAAAACGCATCAGTACAGGGGCGCCGTTTAGGGGGAGGCCATAGGGGCCATGGTCCCCCCCTAAACATTTTACTTTTTGATTTTTGACAGTACGCGTGTCGCCATTCAGTTAGTTTGAAGTTAAATAAAATAAATAAATAAATTCAGCTGCAGTGGTAATTAATGTTTTTTTTCTGTAAAAATAAAGATAAATAAAAACTTATATAAGTACACATTTATGCATATCAAAAAATATTGGCCCCTCCCTGGGCACAAAACCAAAGCCGCCACTGCATCAGCACCGAAGTCTTAAGTATATTTTAGAAATCATAATTTAGATATAACTTAAAAGCTATATCTACTATTTGAATTCGTACAAGGAAAAAACAAAGAAATTATTTAACTATAATTATTGTAAGAAAGCAAAATAAAGCCGGAAAATAAAATACAAAATAATATTAAACCAACAATAGTTTTTACATGGTCTCGTTTGATAAACCAAATAAATTCTTCACTTCTTCGTTATCTACTTCGTTCAATTTATCTTTTTTAATGGACATCATCATAAAAGTCTCTAAATTATCCTGATTTAATGAGTTTCTTAGTTGAGTTTTTATTGTTTTTAATTTCGAAAAACTTATTTCGCAGGCTTTTTGGCTTATAGATAGTGTTAAGACGAACTTATAAGCTAAATAAAACTCGCTCCGCTAAGCTAAAAATATTCTAAAAAAAATAAATAAAAAAAAGCTACTTCTAAAATGTATTTAAACAACATTTTCTTATCCCTAAATAACCACATTTTAAATCAAGACCCAATTAATAACCATTTACTACAACTAACTTATTTAGTATTTCAAAGCTATTTTAGAATCCGGATCCATTATTACACATTAAGTGAGTCAGCCTAAAAATCAAATAAGATCCCATTTAACAATGTTGTTCTCTCGTCGTTCCACTTTTAGTGTGGCGTCCTCTTAATGTATTTACGTCAATATTTTACGACCTAAAACATGACTTAATACGAACTAAAACTTGTCTACCCCGGGGTAGAATGGGGCAAATTATTTTTTATTTTTTGTTAATAATAAAGTAATATATATTTGAGTTATTTATTTCATCATTGAAGTGAATTGCTATTAATATTGTTAAGCATTTATTTATTAAGGATTGAGAGCTTTACATTAAGTAGAATACTTGAATTTGAACATTAAGTTCCCCATTCTACCCCGGACTCTCGTATTTAATTTTTCTCTATCCTTGAGGGTACTGCGACAGTTGAATAAGCTGTCGGTTCGGATTACCTACATCGTTGTAAGAACAGTAACAATATTCAGTACCGCAATATCTCATTATACCAGTCGTTTACGGTGGCGGCGCATTAGGTAGGCAATATCGATACATGTGCGTTTGCGGAGAGCGGATGCAACAGACACTGACAATGTTATAATATATTATTTTCTGTATAATAATATGCAGGTACACCAGTGGGGTGTGATTTCACTGTCCGCGTGTAGTGCAAATTAATTAAACAGCTGGACAACGCTATATTATATTATATCTATCTTTCTGAGCACTAACCCATCTGTTATCATAAACGTGACTGAATGTAACAAAGATCTTCAGTGAAAAATAATAAGTTCCACGATTTATCTACGAGGAGCGTTAGCAGTATCTCACTTTTTCATATTTTTAGATACGAACTCTTGTAGCCGATCGAATATTGCGAGGTATAGGCCGTTGTGCAACCATTTAACTATGGTTAAACCGTGGCTCCTACAGTACTTTGTAGCTGTAGATAAATGTATCCAGTCCCCCAACATTAATTTTCGTATGTTTCATCTACGTACACTTTCAATATCTCTTTTCAATTTCCACATTTTAGTTTTTACTCACAACAATAAAATTAAAAATTAACAAACAAAGTACTGAAGAGCTCGAACTTCGAAAGTAACTAAACATCTATGGATGGATAAAACTATACTAAATTTATATTTAATATTGCGTCGTGGCCAAGAGGGTTACCACGGCAGTGTTTCTACGTACTAGCCGTGGTTCGAATCTTCGTCGCTGGCCGTTTCTCTAGCTGAGAGGGGGGCAACAGTTTAGATAGAGAAATGGCCACCCGACTGGTGCGGAAGCGGAAGGTAATGGGAAATCACCGCACCATATCCACTTCCCCAGGACGGCAACTCATTCATTTGTCTCATTCATTCGTCCATATATTAATTAAATATTTTGACTTTTATCATAAGCATTAACACTTATTTCACGGTATCAGCACCAGTCGCACGCATAACGGCAGACCGCTTCAAGACAATCGCGTACCTCCAATACATAATTCGCTCGCTGCTCTCTCGAATCTAGTACAGTTAAGTTTAGCTGGTTAGGTTATATATTACACATAAATTGGTGTCACCTCCTTGATCCGTCTACATCCGATTTTCGTTGTCTCATGTCAACGTAAATGGCCAATTTGCTTTTATCATTTTCTGTTGTTATGTGCGAGTCGTCAGTGCCAAACATATTTTTGCATAACGTAGTCCGTGAATTAAATACCGTTGACCAGTCGTTATTTGCCCACAAATCCAGTGCACATCCCTATTAAAGCTTAAATACATAAACTACTAGTACATAAGTCTACGCTTTAATTGTAAAAACCAGTTTCCAAGTTGCATCCTTGACAAAAAAAATCTAGAGATGTGTTAGTGAGCGACAAGATATAATATGAAAAATAAAATATTTACACATAAAGTTCGAATGTGTTAGGTAGATAACCAATACAATGGTAAGTATCTAACTGTAAGCGATTTGCGCTTAAACCAACAAAAATTGAATGACTGTACGCACGTGGCATGAATATATTAGACTACGATGAAACTTCCATCATAGTAGTGATTTTTGAAAAACATTAACATAACATAAATCGGTCAACTCATCTCCAGTATCACATAAAATTCCAAATTTAATGACGAAACAATATAACATGATAATGTACTACCGTGAACAGTAAAAATGGCACAAATACTTATTCTAACACTGTGTTAATACATTTTTTTTTAATAATAATAATTCATAAGTACAATACATTTTAACAACGATAAAATACGTATAAGTAGAGGTATAGTATAGGTATGTTAATTTTATAGGTAGGTATATAATCAATATTATCAATTAATAATAAGCTAGATCTCGTCGATTTATATTATATCTATATATATATAAAATAGGTACAAAGATGTTTATGATTTGGTATTTCGAAATAATTATAATATAAAGACATAACGTAAACTAATGTACATTATTTTTTTTAATTATATAAATTATTATGTCAAATCAATTTATAATAATAAATGATTAATTGGAACAATATAATGTTGTATAATCAATCACTTAATTAGCCAAAGTGAATACTATTATTTTTATTAACTAAAAATTAGTAATACACATATATATATATATATATATATATATATATATATATATATATATATATATATATATATATATATATATCTATTGTAGTGTGGACGCATTTGAATCACACTGGAAGGTATTTAGCAATTAGTTTTCGGTAAACGTAATTTTGATTTGTTCACTCTTCTTGGTTTGATTGTTTGTGTTGCTGCAAGTCTGCTGGTCTTCTTTGCAGTGGCCTCCGTTTGGCTAACAAAGACGACAGACGGTTTGTAGATGAAGTCGGAGCTTCGGTCGTACTGGTGGTAGTCGTCGACGAAGCCGGTTGGTGATGGAGTTCCTCGTCGTTTTGAAGTTCTTGGTCGCCTTCGGGTTCTTGTTCGTTCTCTGAGACCGCTTTTGTTTCTTCAACCGGAGGCTCTTCGGTTTGCAAAGACTTCTTTTTTGGCAACAAATTGGACAGTAAGTGTTTGCGGTTTTGACCGGTCACTGGAGCGACGGTCTGTTGTCTCGGCGCTTGGGAAGCCTGCTTTTCCGGCACCCTGAACCTATTTCTGTTCTTCAGTCTCATAAGCGTGTCCGGGGTCGGAGTGGGACTGCTAGTCTCTTGGACTGTATCCTGATCAAAAAAGTATAAAAGGTGTCGTTTTAAAATAATATATATATATATATATATATATCATATATACAATGTAAATAAAAAAAATATATTTTTCCGTAATTAGAAAGCTTAAGGGTTGCTAACGAGGATTACTCGTATGCTACGAGGATTAGGTAGCATAATATTAATCGTATGCAAATTATTTAAATAATTAATTTACCTTTTCTTCTTCTTGCGGGGAGATTTCTACCGCAGGCGCTTGTGTTGACAACGTAGTCGACACCTGAGTGGTGGAAGAACCTTTTCCGCCAATGCCTCCCAATCTCAGACCGGGTCTTAACGGTCTAATGTTAGGTCTCAGTCGACTTCTATATACACAAATAAAATACATTTTTATGTGAATCTTAATACTAAAATTTCTCTGTAATAATCAGTACTTACCCTACGGCTTTGGTTGTGCTCGAGGTTGGTTCCGAAGTTTCAAACTCGGCGGTGTGACTGCTAGCATTGTCTTCTTCCGCAGTAACTTGTGGAAGAGTGGTGGTAGTCGTCGTGAACTTATTCCTGCTGTTCTGTTTTCTTAGGTTTGATCTAAAAATAAATAAATATACGAATAAACATTGTGTCCTATATTATTACATATAGCATGTTTGTACATATCACCAGGCTTTACCTTTCAGCAAAGTTTGGCCTTGGAGCGGCTGAAGTGACTTCAACTGGGGTCTCGTCAACGGATGCTGTGCTCGTTCTGGATTTGCTGCTAGCGCGTGTTCTTTGACGTCCGAACGATGGTTCTATACAAAATATATAAAACAGTTATAGTTTATTTTGTTTTTATAGGGATAGTAGGTACACACGGAAATATCTTACTCGATGCTTTTGTTACTACTTCGGTCTCGGTCGTGGAAGAATCTCTGTCTAATGCAGCCGTTGATGATTGGTATCTCTTACTATAAATTGACTGTCCCTGTAAACAGTAACAAAACGTTATGGTAAACTGTTCGTGTACTGACATGTGTATATCATATGTGTATATTACTTGAGTAATTCGTTCTCTGCTAGGTTTGAATCTGCGCCTCTCCGTAGCACCTTCGGCGGCCTGTTCGGTCGTGGTCGAAGTGGTCGTTGACGTCGCGCCGTTTCTATTGCCCGTCACGCCGCGATAACGGTTTCGCAGTCCGGGTTGGCGAGTCGGTGCTGACGTAGTTGTCGTAGTGGTCGGAGCCTGAGTAGTTGTAGTCGTGGTAGTGGTGGTGGTGGTTGTGGTTGGAGCTAAGCGTAACGTGGTTGGGAATTGGGCTTCATTGTCGTCGAACCTAGTCGAGTGTTCGTTGAATAATATAGTGTTTGCCGTTTCTTCACTTCGGGTTTGTTGTAAAATGGCGTATAAGTCTACTGCTCCTTTGTCTGTCAGTCCTACGCCAGAATTTACAATGTAAACTGTATTTTCGAAAACAGGGCTCAAGCTATAATCATCGTGATCTACTGAAACTACTCGGAAAACAATTCAGAAATCTAAAGAACTGGCCGAATTGATTGGGTTTGTATATAAATACAAATATCAATAAAGTTCATAAAAACTAGCTAAAACTTATTTGAAGACGTTGAAAAATTATATGTGACTTTCAGTCTCAAAATAACAATGACAGTTGAACATTTTCTAGTTTCCAGATTAAGCAGAATATTCAGTAGAACACGATGTACAAACACCATTTAGGTGAAAGTGATAATACTTGATAATGTAAGAGCGTAGAAACAACTTGTTAGAATGATGATCAAAGGTCCCCTATATAATTTCTAAATCGTCTTAGAGTATATAAACACTAATGATTTGGAATAAAAAAAAAGTTGTAGAAGTCGTGAAAACATTGACCCTTAAAATTAAAGCGCATCAAGACAAAACATATATGCCAGAGTTATAGTATTAAATAAGCGATGAAGCAGTGCGTGAGATGGTTAGTTTGGTATTAGCATTGATATTATGATAAACGGGTAAGACAAATTTTCGGCGATTGATCGATTGCAAGTGAGGAATATTAAAGGCGTCCTAACACCAACCGAACTTTGTCCATTGCCAATTGAATTCAACAGGCCGGTCGCTAAAAACTCCGTTGCATGCATGAGTGCCTAACTCATGATAGAACCGAGAACATTCGATATAATATGTGGCGTCTCTCCAGGACGAAAAGTTATTACTGGTGATTACTGGGAATTGAATTAATAATAAGAGATCTGCTCCAGATTTGTTGATGATTTGTTTTTATTTACGCTTATGACAATGTGTCTTATCCGTCTATAATGAAATCAATGTTATTAGCAATTAGCATCATACGTCCGACGCGAACCTGTATGTTGGGTAGTAACGGCGGCGACCTCGTCAGGGGTTAGTGTCGTCGTCAACGACAACCCCCGTGTGTCTGCATCGGTATTGTCTGGATTCCGATCTAAGCTATCAACGGTTTCGGTGATAACCGACGTTACCGTTTCTGTAGGTTGAGTGTTATAAGCGTTATTAATAGTTGCTACTTGATCTGCTGCTGCTGTTGCAGGTGACGTTTGTACCACGGCATCTGAAAATGTGATGATTGCCAGTCGTTAACCAGCTTTCCACTTACCCTCCAAAGAAGTTATCATAAGCAACTGGCACATATGAAACACATTTCCATTGGCAGTACGTTGTGGAAGTTCGTGTCGAAGATACACATATCAATTATTATTTATTATTATAAATGTAAAGAAAATACAAATATATTTGCTTTGTACAGAATTATTGTTATTAGTTTTAATTTTTAATAGTATAACCCTTAGGTGTGCACCAACATGAAACAACAGAAGAATAAAACCAGATCTACACAACACGTGTTGTCAAAAAGTTTCTAGTAGATCAGGTGTAATAGACATCGTCCTGTATTGTCGATAATTATTAATTAAAGTCACGAATACAAACTATATAGGTATATGTTATCGCGTTGGGTACGTATTTACTGGAGCTTGAAAAATAAAATTAAACACATTACAAAAGTTTATAAAACTTAAAAATGTAATATTTTGATCCAAGTTTTGATGTTATTCATAACTTCTCGGTCTCTTTTTAAGGATTATATTAAATTAACTAAACATTACCGAAAGTTGAAACAATCCATTAAATACGCACCCGTTTTGCAATGTACACCATACAGCTAACCCGTTGTCCGCATACAAAATTTAATAATTAAACACAATCTGGTTTTTAGAGAGAAAAAAAAATGTCGGATAACAAAACTACATATTTACAAAAGGTATAAAATTGTCGGTTAAAGAGTTTAGTCAAAAGTATTTTACCGTGTTCGCTTACCTATGTATTTGTATACAATTTAATTACCTCTATGGTTTTCGTGTTTCGGTGAAGTAGCCGTAGACTGTGCGTTGCTAGAATGAGTTCTAAACGCGTTGCTATCGACTAAATCCAAACTAGGTTGATAAACTATTTTAAAATGTTTTTCGGTAATTAAAGTAACATTTTGTTAATGAAGATATCTTTAAACTATGTAGAACTTACTGCTGTTGGGACGAATACGAGTGATTGGCGTGTCTGTGGTTGGCGCTATCGTGGTCACTATTTCTTGGGTTGTGGGCTTGGAGTTACCGCGAGATCGTGCAGGAAATCTTGCATTGGTCGGAAGACGTTCTTCGGAAATAGTTGGAGTAGGCACTGCTAAGGATTCTTCGAGGTTACGTCCAGAATCCCTAAAAAAAATTATTTAATGATTACTTTGTTGAACAGGGATAAACGGAAGAGTATTGATTAATTATTTTAACATAACATATTCAAATAAAATTATGTTTTAGTGATTAAATATTAAAAGGATAAATAGCGTCTATATAGTGTACATACGAAAGTTGCCAACTGTTTTGGGCTTTAACCGAATTTTGCAAAAAAGATACCCGGACCAAAACGACTAGGATGATTTCTTATCTGAGAAACATTAAGTTCTATTAGCTAACATTATTCATTATACTTTTTCTGAGAATATAGTGTACAAGCATAACAAATCATAAATCAGGAAAAAATATTATGGTCGATATACTAGAGGGTTGTGGCCGTATGGGTAATTACTTCAATAATTATATACTCTGTAAACTAATATTTCATTAAGTAGTTTTTTAAAATTAAAATTTTATTTTATATTGAATATAATTAAATTAAAAATATTATTGACAGGAGCTATATTATAGTTGCTAGATGTGCCATTTATACAATGAAATCTGTGAAGATGTTACTGTTGTGTAAGGGAGGTGAAGTATAATATCCTTTATATTATACATATGTTAATACCTAAGTATTAATACGATCAGTTGGTCAGTTGTGCAAGTTAGTTTGAGCAATTCTTTCCAAGCATTATTATCTTTAACGGATTTTTTTTTAAACTGCGTTCTTCTATTATTTTTGTTTACATGTAGGTACAGTTTGCGTAAACTATAGTTTGTCAATCTTCAAAATATTATAATACAAATTAGCGTGTCTACACGATTTCTAAACAAATAATTTTACTCTTCTTTTACAAGTATAATTAATTGGCGTTTTACTTAATGTTATTTAAGTAAGCTGTTCTGCCGAAAGAAATGCTAAAATCCACATTATACGGGAGGCCATTGAAGACTTGAAGGAAAATGGTTTTTCTATACATTAGATAAAAACGGCACAATTTGTAGTTCCCAGCTATTCGAAATAACGGTTCGGTTAAAACGAACTATGTTGTTATTGTTAGTCAATATTTGTTTGAGTTTCATGAAATTAAATATTTTTAATCCATAACTAAAAAAAAAAAAATTACTTTGTTTTAACATTGTGTTCTGGTATATCGTCGACAACAAAATTTGCTGGTATTTCAGGTTCGTCTCTTGTGGCTGTTTGATCTACATTGTGGAACCTTAAGTTTTAAATAAAATAGATACAGTTTATTAATAACAAAACCATTGAATTTATTTGGAAATACTAAATTAAAAATAACATATCGACACTACCGACCTGCCTTTGTTTGTGTTCTGGACAAATTTACTTTCATCTACGACTGTCGATGGTCTTTTTAGTTTGTTACGTTCCTTGGTGTCCTTTTCGGATTTTGTCTGTTCTGTTAGTGTGTTTGGGGTACTTGATCCGGCTAATAGATAAAAAAATTTGTTTGTTAAATCATGCTAAACATTATGATTAATGATCAATGGTCGACTTAGCAATTATTACTTTTAGAACTAGACTTTTTAGAGTTTTCGTCGTCTTCATCGTAATAGTAGTATACATATTCATACTCATATTCTTGACCATTTGGCGCTTTCTTGATGTTTACTCTTGAAGCTTGAGAAGAAGCTGAGCCCACAAGTTGTCCTCCGTACGGTGAATCGACAAAGTCATAAAGACCGTCATCTTCTTTGTTTTCTTGGGTTTTTGATTGTTGGCGAGTTGTCAATAGTTCCACTTGCTTATTATTTCTAATGAATTCATTTATAAGTATTATATTATACAAAACAACTCAATAGTTTTTTTTTTAACCTACTTTAACTTGTTTTGTTGACCGTTAATAAATTCGTCACTAATAGTTTCATCCGATCTGATCTGTGCGGATTTTCTCTGTGGTACAATTTTTCGCGACACTTCTTCGTTCGATGCAAATACTTTTTTGTTCTGTACAAATGCGCATATTTTATATAATTATAACGTTTTATTATTTGATTATTGTACATATTAACTATGATTTCTAAGTTCTGTATATGTGTATATATTTTATTTCATAATATTTTCTTCAATTATCGTATGCTGAAGTACATTGTACAATTAGCTTTAAAAAAAATGTACATTTTAAAACGTTCACTCGGTTTATGACAAAACCGGTCTGGGAGTTTATTACTCTAAATTTAATGAAACCTTGTATAACCAACGGGCGCTTTGATTTTAATAATTTCCTTCGGTAGATTTACATTAAATGCTTACGGCAATGAATAAAAACAAAAAAAAAAAGTTGCTCGAAAATCTTAACCGATTTACCTACTTCGTTAAGTTAATGACCCAATGCTATTAATTATGCGCGAGTCAATTTTATGATCGAATTAAATTGTTATTTGTTAAGAGCTTATTGCTTGATAAATTGTACATAATATTTTTTCTGACTGAATAATCTAATTATGTAGGTGATTTGCTAATCGATAATGGTGAACGTTTATACGCTCATTAAACGCAAAACGCACATAAAATTTCAACCGTCTAAATTGTTACCGTTATAGTTTGCTTGGTATGTGCAGTACTTACATTGGTAAACAATAAAAAGCCTTATTTTATATTTTTGTTTGAGCTAAACTACTTTGAGACGATGTGTATTACGATGTGAGGTGCTTAGATGTGAAATTAATTTCAGAATTATACATAGTGTATCTAGGTATGACATATTAAGTAGGCGCCTATTTTTGTTTCTAAACTTGTAAAATAATTTAAAATTTATCTGTATCTAAACCCTTAGATAAAAAAAATAACACTAATTAGTTGTTACTGTATAAAATTATTTAACTAATTATTTGGTTGTTTATTAGTTTTATAATATGAATACGTGGTCGCGAGAAAGTCAATTGTTTCGTCATGGCTCTGAATTCAAATATTTGTATTATTATATTTTAGTCACGTAAATTACAACGCACATTTCAAAAACCGCTCCTAATAGTATACCAATTAAAATATTATGAAGTATAAATAGTAGATATTGAGTTATTCTTCTTTTTCGCTGTTGCATACGAAAAAAACAACAAATAATAGCTTAAATAAAATTTTCCAAAATAAATTGTATTCCTAACTAAAGTTAAATTTTCAATAATGAGTAATTGTATTTGTAAATTGAAGTTAAATTATTCATACTTAAATGATAAACATTTTATACATAATTTGTTTGTTTTAAGCGGAAGGTTCAAATTAGGTTGTTTTTTAATAAATGTTTAATATTTTTCTATAAAGATTTATATATTTTCAAATACTTAACTCGAGTCTTCAAAGCAACTAAACATTTAGTTGGCCCAACTATTTATTTAGTTATTCCAAATAAAAATTGTGTTATGTCCCCCTTATAACTATATATTTCCCCGTGTTTAAACTAGAGACTACTGGGCTTTGAAGTGGTTTTTATTGAAGTACTTACAGCGTACAACTTTTCTACGGCTGGGACAGCTCCTTTTACTGGTTTTACTCCGATTTGGCCTTCATCCTGGACATTAACATGCATTTGCTCGTCTATAAGTGGAAATCAAAAAGGTTCTAGTTAATTTTCTATTATCATCATACCAACGAGTATACCTGAAGATTTGCCATGTGCTCCCGACGAAGGGTTTCCTGTATGTATGCTGACATATTCCTCGCCGGGTTTTGGTTCGGTAATGACTCGAACGAATTTCCTTCGTTCTTCCGGTACCGCATAGGTGACGACCAGCAAACTCAGTAACGGCAATAATAATTTGTTGCCATACATCATGATTTCTTTTAGATCTATAAAAGTAAAAAAAACCTCTTAATTGCAAGAAAATTTGTTTTTTTTATTCAAAATTAATCATAAACCTCAATTATTTGAACTATAAGTTTTTATAGAATTTGCATGATAATCAAAAATAAGATCAAACATCACATGTAATGATAAACTTGTATTTCTTCCTAATAATTTTTACGGTAATTGCAACCGCATTCAGATACTTCTTAGACGACTTAATTAAAAACATATTATACATATTACGACCAGTTATTTTTATATCATACAACGATGTTTGTTTGTTTAAATTTCGGTTTAGCTGCTTAATTATACCATGGCATAATATATTTTATACTTTTACATGTTTTTAATAGTTATTTGTATTGAAACTTATTAGACATATTTAAAAAGGTAATTTAATATTTTAAAGAACCCATTAAATTTAGGTAATAATTAACAAATTATAAATTTTAGTAAATCACGTTAATGTTTACTTGTTTATAGTTAACTTGTATTACATTTAGGTTAAAATATATAGTGTACAGTCATTTTGGTGGTGAAAAATAACCTCGGGAATAGGGATGAAACCTCGTAGAGCAATCTAGATTTATAGGTTTGTTTTTTGTTTTGATGACTTCTTACAGGTTTTGTGTATCTCTGATTTTGTATTAAGTTACCAATACGTTAAAATAATCTATCATAAGTAAAGTGCAAATTTATTCTTTCCCATATCACAACTTAGATAAAATACACTATACCGCGTTTAAAAAGTGACCAGGCAGTTTTAAAGATTGTTTTGGCGCTTACTGTGGAAGATAACAGTATTCAATTCGATAGGTCGCAATTTCATAATACTATTATAATACACACTGGGACCTTAAACATATTCCTTGTCTTTGTTTGTAGACAGGTTTCAAGGGGAAATTGTTCGTCATGGCTTAATTACTTACTAAACATTCCATTAACTGGTTTTAAATTTGGACATTTCAATAGACAAAGTTAAATAACTCCCGCAGGCCACAGACGATTTTTACATCATTATACAATACATATATCGTCGGTGGTGACTTTGTTAAACCCCGTTCGAGTCTAAATGGATACACATAATTTGTTGACACATAATTCGATAATCAATACCGTACAAGTGCAATAATTGTATTGCATGTAAATTATTATAAGCATCCAGTTATAGCTTATTAATAAGTTACACGGCAAACGGCATAGTATTAATTTATTGGTCTATTAAGTACCCGTTTATCCAAACGATTGTTGCGTAAAGTCTTTTTTATTTCACGGAACAGTGGGCAGAGTATAGTTGGTACCTATATAATAATATTACCTTGCCGTTTACTTTTTAAAAAGAGTTACATAACATTACAATAATCGGTACGTGTAAGTTGTTGTGACAAAAACCATTGGCTCAAATCGTGTTTAATTAAAGTTTAAATATAGGCTAAGCGTTTTAATAGGCCAACGATTACGAGTTTTGGAAACGTGCGCGCGTTTTGTTGTGACACCAATAGGTACTATTTGTTTTGTTTGTCAAACTCGAGCTGTTGAACTCCTTCGTGCAACTGGTACTTGATGAAATGATGGCTTTTCGCTAGATCTTGCCGATATCCACTGTGTATTCGTAATTGTTGGCCGCGGTCTTGACCGTTTACAGTGGCACTTTGGCGTGCCCACATGGACGTTGCACGTCAAGCCACATGTATCAACCTTGCCGTGTGGCGTAAATTTAGTCGCTGAACAACATGCACGTCATGTCAACCCAGATGAAGTCGAGGTCACCGGCATGAAGCAGCACCACTTAGACGCCGGCACCCTTATTGGATTTTACCTCCCACGTGGGTAATAGTTTGTAGGCTGTAGCCCATCTGCAGAGTGGTGGTCAGTTTTGCCTGTTTGTAGGCTCGGTCGCCAAAAGCTGTTTGTCAATTGATGCGGTTGTTGTTGCTACAATTGCTGGTGGTCAATTGATGCGGCTATTACGTCGCAATTTGGATGTATAAAGTACGGACAGTTATTTGGCATTTGGACGGTTGTTGTCCTTTTCATGGCATTAGCAAAGAAAAAACAAATCTTGGAACGTACCTTTTTATATTTGACCAGTTAGATTTCAACTAATTTAATTTACACGACCGAAAACGATAACTAATTGTGAGTAAAAAATAGCCTCAATAGCGGATCCAGTCTCACCAGAGAACACACTCAAAGCATTTCCTCTTCCGATTGTAGACGTTACTCGTTGGTTTTGCTACGAACGACTTACTCGTCGAATTTTCAGGTTTGTTTTTTAGTTGTCTTCTTTTGATCCAGGCAGAACTTAGACATAGACTACTGAAAACACTGTCGCTCGGTTGAAGATTCCAAAGCGGTTGACGTCTGTCAAGTTATAAATATTAACGGTCCAGGTTTACTTATATCGCATGTCTAGTAGCAACATAAGTGTCGTACGACTCGTGTTGCCGATATCCGCTGTCCGGTATTTTCAATGTCAATGGCCTGAACGTCGCCTGACGCCTGATATGTACCTACGCGTAGGATCAAGACACCATTAATTTTATTAATCCTATTGTGATGTAACTATTATATGTAAAACAATCCAATGTTATATTATGTTGTCGCAGTCATTCGGAGGAATTTCTAGGTGGGTAGACCAGAGTTAATCGGTTTAAATCTATTTTGGCGGAAAAACCACCGGACAATCCTAAAATATGGCTAATATTTTGTTCCGATAAATGAAAGATACATTTCAACAATACATCTTGAATCCGAAAATACTTTGTGGAAGTAAGTAAATCAGCACGCGCAACTACATGGCTGTTGTAATTTTTCAAAAACATTTGCGCCGCGTTTTGAAAAATAAAACTTTAGGGTAACGATCTTTAAGATACCCGAAAAATAGGTTGAAATAGAGTAATTATCACTTCGAGGCATTATAAATGTAAAAAAAGATCTAATGGGTAGTTATAAAATATCAAACTAAAGCGCTATTTAAGGATGTTTCAGTTCAACTATTTAAATATTATTTTTATCAGATTATTTGTATTTTGGACTACTTTTTCCACGTTAATTTTGAAAAAAGAGTGATGGTGGACGGTAGTTTCACACATTTGCCATTAGATTGCCAATTTCCTGTAAGGTTGAATACAAAATAAATTCTTTTACCCAACGGAACGATTTTTCATCAGACGTTAGGTTCAGATAACTCCGAAGGGGGAGGGAGTCTAACGCTAAAAATACTTTGATACTTTACAAAATATTTTTGGTATGCGACTTTTGCCACCCCAGATAACGTGCATAATACATGTAATCAACGGGTATATTATCTACACGCGGTGACTGTTGTCGACGATTACAAGACAATACGTTTAGGTTATGTGTAGTCGTCAACGAATATTACGGGTTTTATCCGATTTGAAAGTTGTTTTATCGCATAAAAAATGTGAGCATTAAACATATACAACGGACAATAATTTTGATACTGCAAAAAGATGCAGTCGCTGACGAGGAGAAACATAATATTAGCAGTACGTCCGATCGAGCCTTTTTTATATTCCATGTTGGTTTTTTCCCTTTGACGCAATAGTCGTTATTTTCTTCATCGGTTTACAAATGCGTGAAAGCTTTCTTATTCGTTTAGTCTGCACATTTCGCAACGATGAGCCAGCGAGCCAAAAAAATAACCGACGATGATCAAAAAAACAATTGAGTTATTGTCTCATTGAAAACTTTCGTTTCCAGTGCGTTGCCAAAAATAATAATCTTCTTATTTAACACACAAGTAGTTTAAAATGTCTAGCACATCCGAAGCACAGTATAAATTCTATTTTTTTTTGGACGTTCACCAAGACACAGATATAACGCATTATGTGTTAATACATTATTTACTCACTAATGTCTAGTTAGTAGTTTACGCCGTCGCCTTGACGAGGTCACGCCCGTTTATTAACTATTGAAAATGCCTATATTTAGGGGCTGACTACTATTTACATTTTAAGGGAAGCCTATAATATTATACTAGGTCAGATTGAGTTAGGAAATATTATGTCAGTCGTGTTTTTTAATCGTGATTTAGAATATTTAAGTTCAGCACTAGCCGTGACGGTGCATTTTTAGTTAAATAACTAGTCATTAGCACCTAATGAGATGTGTAAATACTAAGTACTAAATACTAAATAGCGTATAAATATATATATAGTAACTAGGAGTAAAAATAATAATAATGATAATAAAAGAGAAACAATAATTAGTGTAGTGCTACCAGAGGCACAGCAGCTATTTTTCCCACGGAGGGGCAAACATATATCGGGTGTAGTGTAGAAACTAAAAAGGAATTAATTAATTATTCATGTAATATATATATTTTATACGAGTGTTAAGTATATCACACTTGATACCGTTTCGATCAGAATACAGTCCAAGAAGCCATCAGTTCCACTCCGACCTCGGATACACTTTTGAGTCTGAAGAACAGAAATAGGTTCGGGTACCGGAAAAGCAGGCCTACAACAGACCGTCGCTCCAGTAACTAGACAAAACCGCAAGCACTTCTGTCTAACTTGTCAAAAAGACGTGATTGCAAACCGAAGAGCGTCTCTTCGGTCGAAGAAATGAAAGCGTTCTCAGAAGACGAACAAGAACCCGAAGGCGACCAAGAACTTCAAAACGACGAGGAACTCAATCACCAACAGGTTTCGTCAAAGTCTACCACCAGCACGAAAATAATAAAATAACTTATTAAACGTTTTTCCCTGTTTTTTTTTTGCGTACGCCTGGCAACATTCTACTTGTTATCTCTAGACGTTTAGCCGTACGAGTATTTAAGCAAGCCGTTTAACACTATGGTATACACGTTACGCAAAAAGCATTCTAGTGGTGCTACAAATTACAATAGGTTAAGAACGTCCCACCCATTTGTTGGAGAGCACAAACTCTGTAACAATGAGACTATTTTTTATTTGAAATTAAATTTTAAGTAATAATGAAGTAAAGTATGAGTTCTAATGAACATCTGGTC